CCCCATTGTGTTTTCTGCAACCTTTTCTGTTTTCAGGATGGTATTTTTTTTCCCCCTTTTTCGTTTCTTTTCAAACAAAAATAATTTATCTGCATGGAACCCAAATTGCTAAGGCATGCTTGAAAACCAGCAGAACGTTTGCCAATTTCCCTGGGAAAAGTGACAAAATAAAAGTGAGGGGGGGGGGAGAGAGAGAGAGAGAGAGAGAGAGAGAGAGAGAGAGAGAAAGCCACGCTAGATTTCATTTCAGCAAAAACACACACAGCCGTCCAGCAATCAAAAATATTAATTCTATTGTGAGGCGTGCATCGGAAGGCATTAACTCTGGCGAACACCAGGAACGGCATATTTGAAAGGCTCATAAATGTAATGAAGTCCTTTTGACACCTGCTCCTCTCCGCACTTTAAATGTGAGCCATCGGTCCGGAGGGAATCAAGGCTTTAAAAATAGAAATTATAGTAATTGTCTTCTTGGGTTATTGGGAAGGTTGTAATAAACACGAGGCTCATAAGGCGATGGGGCGGCAAGAGCGTGGATGACAGGGTGCATAAATTACCCCCTTTTTTTATTTCTTTCCCCTCCCCCCCCTTCCAGTGGCCCCCTCCAGCAAATCACACAGTATAAATCATTGTACGTTAGCGCTACATTACTGCAAGGGGAAATAATATGCATGGAAATTCCATCTGAGATATTCGGTTCACAGACGAGACTTCAGGGCGCTTTTGTCATCCTTCAGCATTTTAAACAAAACAACTCAGAACAACTCCTGGCGAGGAGCAACCTTCCATTGCCCAGCTCAGGAGAAGAGCGCAGGGAAAAAAGGACTATGCGGGGGGTGAGGAACTCTGGCTGCAGATCCACACTGCAGACTGGTACCCGTTTAATACCGGTTTAAACATCATGGCTTCGTCCAAAGAAGGCTGGGGGTTGTAGCTTGCTGGGGGCAGCTCTGTTAGAGACTGCCTAGGTCTTCCTGCAGACAGACCTGCAGCGCCCAGGAGTCTCCAAGGAGGAGGAATCAAACCAGTTTTAATTCTGCGCCGTGCAATCCAAAGAAGCCCACATTTAAGAACAGCCTCCTTCCACCTCCCTCCTTCACTGAAGAACAACAGATCACAGCACGTGTCTGGCAACTGGCGTGTACTCATGACTCTTTGCCAATGAGAAAGCAGTATGCTTTGTTTGCATCCGACACACTGCCAGCGAAGGGACAGAGAAGGGAAACAGCATGTGCTGTTCGATGCAGTTCGTGTTCCAGCTGCTGCCTTCGGCCCTACAAATCCCCCCTCTCCTCCTCCTTAATTTCATTCCATGGCATCTTCCATTCCCCCCTCTCCCCCCCCCTTTTTGGCTTCTTCCCATCACACTAAGGATATTGCTGGCCTATGATAACCAGTCAATGCTTCCCATGAAACGTTGAGCCTGGGATGTGTGTGTGCTGAAGCCTTTCTTGGCAACCTAACCCAATCTATTCTAGGCTTTCATTTCTCTGGGGAATTTCATTTCCTCCTGTGGGAGGGGGCCATAGTTCATAATAATAATAATAAATTATTATTTATACCCCACCCATCTGGCTGAGTTTACCCAGCCACTCTGGGCGGCTCCCAATCAAGTATTAAAAACAATACAGCATTAAATATTAAAAACTTCCCTGAACAGGGCTGCCTTCAGATGTCTTTTAAAGATAGGACAGCTACTTATTTCCTTCACATCTGAAGGGAGGGTGTTCCACAGGGCGGGTGCCACTACCAAGAAGGCCCTCTGTCTGGTTCTCTGTAACCTTACTTCTCGCAATGAGGGAACCGCCAGAAGGCCCTCGGCGTTGGATCTCAGTGTCCGGGCTGAACGATGGGGGTGGAGATGCTCCTTCAGGTATACAGGACCAAGGCCGTTTAGGGCTTTAAAGGTCAGCACCAACACTTTGAATAGTGCTCGGAAACGTACTGGGAGCCAATGCAGATCTCTCAGAACCGGTGTTATGTGGTCCCGGCAGCCACTCCCAGTCTCCAGTCTAGCTGCCGCATTCTGGATTAGTTGTAGTTTCCGGGTCACCTTCAAAGCTAGCCCCATGTAGAGCACATCGCAGTAGTCCAAGCGGGAGAGCATGCACTACTCTGGCAAGACAGTTTGCAAGCAGGTAGGGTCTCAGCCTGCGTACCAGATGGAGCTGGTAAACAGCTGCCCTGGACACAGAATTAACCTGTGCCTCCATGGACAGCTGTGAGTCCAAAATGACTCCCAGGCTGCGCACCTGGTCCTTCAGGGGCACAGTTACCCCATTCAGGACCAGGGAATCCCCCACACCTGCCTGCCCCCTGTCCCCCCAAAACAGTATTTCTGTCTTGTCAGGATTCAACCTCAATCTGTTAGCCGCCATCCATCCTCCAACCGCCTCCAGGCACTCCAGTTCAGTGGTAGAGTGCCTGCTCTGGGCCAAGAGGGTCCCAATTTCAATCTGTAGCATCTCAAGGTAGAATCCTGGCTGTAGCCAGGAGGGCAGTTGCCACCCCCCCATCAAGTAAATAATAAAAAATACTTAACTAACTGGCCAGTTGCATTGCAGGTAACTCGGTTCTGTCCCGTCCCCCAGCATAAAGCCTGCCCCCCCCCATTAATCCTGGCTACACCCATGGGTAGATTCCTGCCTGAAATGATGGAGAACAGCTGCCAGTCGGTGTAGACCAGTGTTTCAACCCGGGGTCTCTGGCTGGTTTTGGACTGCCAATCCCATCATCCCTGACCATTGGTCTTGCTAGCTAGGGATGATGGGAGTTGTAGTCCAAAAACATCTGGAGACCCAAGGTTGGAAAAGACTATACTGAGCTAAAGGAACCAATTGTGTGACTTGATATAAGGCAGCTTCCGAACTTTTCAAATGTCGACCTTCGAATCTGAAATTCAAATATGCTTTTCGACTGCAATTTTTTACCCCGGCCTTCAAAATTTGGGTGAGTTTTCTTGGTTATTTGTTGGCGTTCCTTGGTTGTTTTGATTTTGCAGCCATGAAGTGTGAGATCTGTCAACTATCAAATGCAAAATTGCACCACGCATCTGTTCTCAAATACGGCCAAAAGTCCATTGTCCTGGTGGGTGAAGTCTTGCTCCCACCCTCCTTCTGACAGGAAGTCTCACTTCCATCCTTTCAAGACGGAATCTCCCTCCTTAACTCACAGAAGTTATTGTTGACTCGCAGAAATAATATTGAAATCAAATATCAAAGTCAAACACCAAGTGTTGAAATTAAATCTTTGGGTGTCAAAGGCATATATCAAATATTTGGTGAATAATCTGTATATTTGGAGAGTAAATTCACGGCAGCTTTCTGTTGACAGCCATTAGTCAGGATTTCTTTCGGTATGAGTTGTCCTACCTTTGGGCTGGGGGCAGAGACCGAAAGATGGTAAAATATCTTATTGGTTCCAAGTTGGGCCTGCATTTCAGCTAATAGATAGATCTATGTGACCTTACAGTGAATATGCTAATAGTTTCTGAGATTTTGTGATGTCTGTGTAACATACCGTATATTTCGCTCTGTAAGATGCACCAGACCACAAGGCGCACCTAGTTTTTGGAGGATGAAAACAAGAAAAAAAATATTCTGAATCTCAGAAGCCAGAACAGCAAGAGGGATCGCTGCGCAGTGAAAGCAGCAATCCCTCTTGCTGTTCTGGCTTCTGGGATAGCTGCGCAGCCTGCATTCGCTCCATAAGACGCACACACATTTCCCCTTACTTTTTAGGAGGGAAAAAGTCAGTCTTATAGAGCAAAAAATACGGTAACCAACCGTCAGCTGGCCCAGAAGATGTGGCTCTAGACTCCTGAACTGCACACTGCCATATAGTTATGCTTAATTAATAAATGTACTCCCAGCACTTGGAAGTTACAAATATTATTTATTCATGATGCTGTTCCTTGCTGAGCATCATATTTGATGTCCCAAAATTAGAGAGGATATTTGAATGGATCGGCCTCTCTCGGTAAAATTTCACTCTGCGCAACCTTAATTGTCTGCTCGCTATAAAGGTCTGCAGAAAATGTGAAAGCGTGCTATCACTTTTCTGGCCCACACTTTAATAGCTGAACAGAAAGAACCAAAGCAAATGTTCTTTCAAAGAAACCCAGTGAAATTTCTGTCAAGGGGAGTGCGATGACTCATTCACACAACCATTCCCCCCCACCCCCCAGCCTGGTGGATTTTATTTGAGTTGGCATTATCTATCACATCCTGAACTTACATGGTTACTGCATCTTGTCTCCATAACCAGAAGATTATTTTGTTTGGTTTGTTTTTTTAGTTTCTAATCTGCATCTCTGTGAGAGCATATCCAAGAAAATAGACGCAAAGCTTATACAGTGGTAGTACCTCGGGTTAAGTACTTAATTCGTTCTGGAGGTCCACACTTAACCTGAAACTGTTCTTAACCTGAAGCACCACTTTAGCTAATGGGGCCAATTGCTGCTGCCGCACCGCCGGAGCACGATTTCTGTTCTCATCCTGAAGCAAAGTTCTTAACCTGAAGCACTATTACTGGGTTAGCGGAGTCTGTAACCTGAAGCGTATGTAACCTGAAGTGTATGTAACCCGAGGTACCACTGTACAGCAAAAGGTCCAGAAGGAAACAGATGCTGAAACATCTCAAAAATGTAGTCTAGTGGATGCAAGTTTGTCCCACCTCACCCCAGTTTGTGACACTATGGTTGAGACAACCAGAACATCATGGTAAACCTGTTCACACTTATGGCTTGCCATGTAAAGACGTCCCCCCCACCCTTGTGTGCCAAACTGAGCCAGTGCTTTGCTCCTGTGACATTCTGCCCAAGTGGTGGTCTTCTTGTTTATCAGCCATGAATGGAGGCAGTTTCCCAGACAGCTCGTGTCTTAGATCTTTCCCGCTTGCCTTTGTGCAATCCAAGCTCATGGTTTCCAGGGGCACATTAGCTTTGATTGCAAATTGTTTTCATTAAATAAAATGTTAATTCTGTTGTTGTTTGATTCCAGATGAGTTTAGAGAATGACGATAAGCGAGCACGTACACGATCAAAGGCAATCAGAGGTGAGCACTTTGTGGAATTATGCACTCTGGCAGTTAAACCTGGCTCTGTGGCTCTGTGTGGTTCATCAAAATGCTTCTGTCTCTGAGGCCAACAATCTTGATCTTTTTCTCTCTGTGTGTATGTGTTTAAACGCTGCACACACATACCCTCCTCAACTTTTCCCAGGAGATCTCTTCAGAGAGTGACTCACAGGGACACTCAAAACATTTTCAATCCACATTCTGATTTCCCCTCTCCCTTCCCTCGCCCTTCTTTTAAAAAACAGCCTCGCATGCTTTGCTTCATAGAAATCTTGATAGCTTCAGATCACTTTTATCACATGTGCTCGGCCGGAGGCTTTGAAGTCATACATCTGAGAAAGCCAGAGAGAGACTGTGCATGTTGCAGAAGCAAACAAGGCTGATGTGGTGGGAATTTGAAGACAAATGACTTGATAATTTGAGGCCTGATTGCTATTTATTTTCCGACTTTGAAAGCAAAAATGCCTTGGTGTATTCACCTGGCAGAGGGAAGAAATTCTGGCAAATAAAACGGGGTTGCCACATCATTGCCTTGAGCAAATTAATTGGTTTCTCATTTCTGAGTGAATTGTTCATTGTGCGTGTCTACATTACGGAGAATATCAACTGAGTGGTATATGTGCATAATAACCAGCCATTGTACACATTCACCAGGCCTCATGGAGAATGTGCACATAATCTATCCATAAAGATGGAACTGTACGCATTTCCTAGTCAATATACACAATTTTGAATAGGCCTTGGAGATTATGCATGTATGGACTGAATTTTATACAATAGCCAGTCATTACTCATAATCCCCAGTAGGCTTTGGGGAATGTGCAAAACTAGCCTGCATTCTGTACATTTTGCAGGCAATGTGCACATTCTCAAGTCAGTATGCGTAGTCTCTAAAAACCATGCCTTTCTCTGCTATCTCTAGTTCAGAAGTCGACCTCATGGGCTGCTTCTGACCCACTGCCTAATTTTATGTGGCCCACAACACATCCTCGCACTGATCAGCTGAAAAGTGGGTGGGAGCAAAAGGGTGGGGCTCCAGGAAAAGAGTATATTTTTCTGCAGGCCAGACTCATTTTCACCCCTCAGCTGTTCCTCAGTCAACTGAGCAGCACAAGGGAATCACAGGGAGGAGAAAGCCTCCTTCCCATGGCGCGCTATAGCAGCACGGCACAAAGGGACATGGGTGGCGCTGTGGACTAAACCACTGAGTCTCTTGGGCTTCCTGATCAGAAGGTCGGCGGTTCGAATCCCTGCAACAGGGTGAGCTCCTGTTGCTCTGTCCCAGCTCCTGCCAACCTAGCAGTTCGAAAGCACACCAGTGCAAGTAGATAAATGGGTACCCCTGTGACAGGAAGGCAAATGGTGTTTCCATGCACTCTGGTTTCCGTCACAGTGTTCCGTTGTGCCAAAACTGGTTTAGTCATGTTGGCCACATGACCCAGAAAGCTCTCTGTGGACAAAGGCCGGCTCCCTCAGCCTGAAAGCAAAATGAGTGCCGCAACCCCATAGTCGCCTTTGACTGGCCTTAACTGTCCAGCGGTCCTTTACCTTTTTATATAGGAGCATGGGGTCAATCATCACGGGACTCTCACAGGAGGGAAGAGTTGGCTAACTGAGCAAGTTAGCAGTCTCTGTACTGTAATTGCCAGATATGCTCCTCAAAAGCCAGCTGTAAGTCTCAATCCCAGTGTAAGGTCTCCTCCATAAGATGTAGGATAACTTAGTTGTGTCATGGTATCATCACATTTTCCTACACATAAACAACCACCCAGAAGCAGCTAATGACAGGGAGCATTATGAGATAAGTGACCCTATATGTAACAGGGGAGGAAATGTAGAGCCCGTGCTATGCAAGCAGAAAGTCCCGGGTTCCATTTCTTGCACCTCCCATTGGAATTAATCAAGTAGCAAATGATGGGAAGGTTCTCAGACTGAGGTTCTGGAGACCTGCTGCTAATCACACAAAAAACTGTTGACAGCCATGTTGGTCTGTTATGGTAGGAAATCGAAATGCCCTAGTAGGTTCATACTTTTTTAGGGCCAACCACAGTGTCCAGGTCATCAGCAAGTTATTGTGTTGCCCGGAACTGTTCTTCAGACTAGATGTTAATAATAATAATAATAATAATAATAATAATAATAATAATAATAATAATTTATTATTTGTACCCCGCCCATCTGGCTGGGTTTCCCCAGCCACTCTGGGCGGCTTCCAACAAAGATGAAAGGTACACTAAAATGTCACATATTAAACAAATAGAGGGAGGTGAGAAACTGGGGTGGGGTGTAGGGCATGGTATTAAAGCCCTGAAGTCTGAAGGAGTTAATGGTCATAAAATGGAGTCGGTGGGAATTATGCAGATTTAATTAGACTAGCCACTCATAGGTGATAAACAGATTGCACTAAAGGTAGACAATACTGGTTAGATCAGGGTTCTTCAATATTGGGTCTCCATATGTTCTTCGATTGCAACTCCCAGCATTCCTGGTCTTTGGCTAGGGGTGTTGAAAGTTATAGTCCAACAAAATCTGGAGATCCTGGGTCAAATAACATTAAACTAGATGGATCAATGGTCTGATTCAGTATAAGGTGGTTTCATATAATGGGGGTGTTGTTTTCGGTGGCTGGTTCCACCTGTAGAAATTGCAAGAAGGGTGACATCTTGTGTGACTTTTCTTTTTTTCTGCTTTGTTTTCCTTTTCTTCTTCTCCATCTTTCTCCACAGTGCCTACAGAACTCATTGGCCAGGAGGTGAGGTAAGGAAATTTTCTTTTCAGCAACTCAGGGTTGATTCACATGTGCGTGTATTTCACCCAATTAACAACAACGATTTTATTATTTATACATTCTTTATATATGACTCCGAGCTAAATGTGTGCACTGTTCCCCTCGAGAATTATTGTGTCTGAGATGATGTGAGCTGATATAGAAACTCAGCAATCTCTGGTGTGGGATAGCTCTCTCACAAATGCCACGAATCATCACTTGGTGTTGCTTGAAGGCAACTTTCATTTGGTCAGGGAAAACAACAGGCTGCCACTTTTTAAATAGGAGATCAACCAATTGGGATTTTAAGGGGTACGTGTTGACTATGCACACACACACACACACACACACACACACAAATATACAGCAAAAGGAACAAATTGTGACTTCAAACTAAAACAATGCCAAGGATGCTCATCTGCATCCATTGACAAATAAAGATCTAACCATCAATGCTTTTCAGTCCAATCAATTTCTTTTTAATATAATAATTTTTATTAAGTTTTCAATTTTACATTTCAAAACAAACATTTTACAAACTTTAAAATATCCAGTGACTTCCCTTCTTCTCCTTCCATGGTTCATTTTGCATATCGTACATTCCTGCACATTTTACTGTAACCATTCAGATCAGTTTTCCACTTTTACATCAATCAAATATTATTTACACTGTTGAATTTATCTTAATGCTGCCAGGGTTTTCAGCTGTGTACAGTTATTTTCCATATAGTCAATAAATGCTTTCCACTCTTCTTTAAATATATGTTCTTCCTGCTCTCTTATTCTATGTGTTAAATCTGCAAATTCTGACAACTTAAGTTGCCAATCCTCTTCAGTTGGGACCTCACTCACTTTCCATTTTGGGGCTAACAAAACATGTGTCACAGTTGTTGCATACATAAATAAACTTTTCTGACACATAGGAATTTCTGTCTGGGTTATTCCCAATAAAAAGGACTCTGGTGTGGTTTTTTTGGGAGGGGTGTAATTTTAAACATTTTTTCCAACTCATTTTTTTCAAACCATTTCCCAATATACTTTTACCTTTTCACATGTTCACCACATATGAAAAAAGGTTCCCTCCACTTCTTTAAACTTCCAACACATATCTGATTCTGTGTTATAGATCTAAGCCAACCTACTTGGAGTTAAATACCATCTATGGATCATTTTTAAATAATTCTATTTCAGTGAGTAACATGCAGTAAATTTCAATACACTTTTCCAAGGTTTCTCCCAGAGGTTGAAATCTATATTGTGTCTTATATCTATTGCCCAGTGTGTCATTGAACTTTAACAAGCTCATCTTTTGTTTCCCATTCTAATAAAAAAATTACACATTTTAGACAGAAGTTTATCCTTATTTTATAAAAGTTATTTTTCAAATTGTGAGCTTTGGTCCAAAAATCCATTTTTAAAATCTAATTGAAATATATTGTATATCCAGTGATATTATAGCCGATCCGTAACTTGGTGCCTTACATTTTCCATTGGTTTCAGTTTGGGTTCTCCCCCTATAAAATCCAGCAGTTCCCTGTAGGTCGCCCACTGTCCATCCATATTAACTCTCTTAATTGTAATTGCCTCAATAGGAGATAGCCATAAAGGTGTTTTTATTTCCAGCAGATTCTTATATTTCTCCCAGACTCTATACAGATTCTTCCTAAGAATGTGGTTCATGAAACTCTTATAAATGTTAGCCTTCCCATATCAAAGACATACATGTCAGCCGAATTTTAAATCTTGGCCTTCTAAATCTAAACTATCTGCGTTGTCCAATACAATCAATTCTTTTAACCAACACAAACAAGATGCCTCATAATACAATTGCAGATCTGGCCATGCAAAGCCTCCTCTTTCTTTTGCATTTATCAGTATTTTATCTTTAATTCTTGGCTTTCCCCCTGCCAGATAAATTTAGAGATATTTTCTTTCCATTCTTTGAAGCAGCTTGAATTATTTACAATTGGAATTGACTGGAATAAAAACAGCATCCTAGGGTGTATGTTCATTTGAATGGCTGAAATTCTACCTAACAGGGAGAGTTTCGTTCTCCTCCATATCTCCAGCTCTTTTCCGAACCTCTTTCCACAATTTAATATAATTATTTTCAAATAGGTTGAGATTCCTTACTGTCAGACAAATTCCCCAAAAATGGATAGTGTTGGGGTGGCCATAGCTGTACACTGACAGCCATCTGGGGGGGCGCAACTCTCCCCCATGCTGCTGTGGGAGAGCGATCCCCGCAGAGGCTTGGGAGTGAAGTTGTGCCCCTCCCAAGCCTCCTCAGGAGGAGAGTGATCCTCACAGAGGCTTGGGAGGCTTGGGCGGGGTGCAGCTTCCCTCCTAAGCCTCTGTGGGGATCGCTCTCCTCTCGAGGAGGCTTGGGAGGGAAGCTGCACGCCTACCAGCCTTATGGTTGGCGGGGCACAAGTGGCAGGCGTGCAGGGAAAGGGGAGGCCACCAGCAAAGCCAAGCAGGTCCCCCACTTGCCGGGGCGCCCCTGAGAGGCTGACGCCCTGGCACAATGCACCACTTAGCCCTATGGGAAAGACGGCTCTGCCCTCATAGTCCCTTCCAACTCTACAACTCTACGATTCTAGGTGGACAAGTCTATTCAGGGCTGCTTCCTATATTTCTATATTCTTCCTGTGCTCCTCAAGCTGATCATGCATTGAGCAGCTTTGATTTCTGAAGCAGGAGGGGCACAAGAAAAGGCCTTGGTGAATAAAGCGTGCCAAGCTCTGCTATCCCCCAGCCAGCCCCAAGGGAAAGCTGTCACCTCTTCCTCGCTGCTCGGTTGGCCAACTGCTCATCTGAGTATTAGCCTTTCATAACCTGAGGCTGAATTGTTTGGTGCTCGATAGCACTACCCGCACTCACCAGGGGCAGCACGGGAGAAACGGAAGCAGCCCTTGAAGAACTTAACACAGACCTGAACTCGAGAGCATACAAATTATAGGCTCACAAAGCCACTGAGCACTATTAGAAGCACACGGAGTGTGAAGGTTCAAGTGAGAAGAGCTCCGTAAGCACAGCACAAATGATACAGGCTGTCTTTCCTCTCCCCTTTTGATTAGAACGCTTCCTGCATCAAAGAGTAATTGGACCTTATGTGACCCAGCTTCCTAGGGTGTTTCTGCTCTGAGAGCCTGCTGTTACTCTCTCAAGATACTGGGTTAGAGAGCGGCAGGCGTACCACTTGCCTACGTTTTATTGCTGAACACATGAGTGGAGGTGGTAATTGAAGCTGGCGACATATTTAAGGGGCAGCTCGGAGGGCCTGCACACAGCCATCACTGCAGCTGTCCTCTAATTGCCTGATTAACTGGACGATTAATCGACTAATTGAAGCCCAGGCTGCGTCTGCATGACAAAAGGAGAGGAGGCCATGGTAAAATAAATTAGCAGTCTTCCAAGAAGTAAGGGAGAAATATCCAATAGGTGATGGATGTGAGTGCCCTTGCAGGACAAGGAGGAAGATGGTCTAGGCATGCAGCAGAATGAGGGGGGTTGAATCCCAAGGTCTTGGGGAAGACTAAGCAAAGTGCCATTTTTGAAGGCTCCCCTATGATGGACAGAATAGGTTTCTTTTTATGGAGACACAACTGCATGTGTATTGGGAGCACAGAGGTGGTTCCTGTCCTAGAGAGTGGCAAAACCTGGAGGTCACATGGTGATCTTTTTAAAAATAAGATCTCCAGCCACAATCATGCCCAAGTTGGGTGCAAAACAGTAGTTCAACAATGCAAATGCCTTTTCACTGGTAGCTACAGCCAGAGCTTTTTCGGCTGTGGCTCCAACCTGGTGGAACGCTCTGTCGCAAGAGACAAGGGCCCTGCAGGACTTGACATCTTTCCGCAGGGCCTGCAAGACAGAGCTGTTCCACCAGGCCTTTGGTCAGGACGCAGCCTGACTCCCTCCTTTGGCAATCTTTACAAAACTTTAGTTTATGGTTGCCATCAATTTGTATTTTAATTAATTTTTATAATGTTTTTATAATGTTGCGCTGTTTTAGCCTTGTTAGCCACCCTGAGCCTGGCTTCGGCTGGGGAGGGCAGGATATAAATAAAATTTATTATTATTATTATTATTATTATTATTATTATTATTATTATTAGCTTGAACAGGTTCATGGGAAGATATTGTTCTTAGAATAGGACAGTGTCTGGCTTGTAGAAAACAAATGCACAGATGAAGGTACAGCGTGAAACTTCAGGGCCATGAAATCCCCTACGTTTTATTCAGCTTACAGACATTTCTACGAGTTATGAGAAAATTTTCCATTCCTTTCTTGGAAGCCAGGCCTGGGAATGGAGCAGCTCTGCCCAGCCAGGAAATCTGTCTGTGATTCTGCCTCCAAGCCCTACTTTAGTTGATCACCAATGCAAAACTATCGCCCTCTTTCCCAGGTGCCTTCCAAATGGACTTACTATTTTTGCACTGGAGCCCAGACTCAGGTGCTCTCCCCTACAGGAGGATGAGGTGGTTATGGGGAGAGAGAGTTGGGATTGGGCCCTGCGGAGCATAGCCTGCCCTCTTTCCTTCAGCTCCCCAATGTAAGACTTAATTCATTCCCCAAAGACCACAGCTAACCCTAGAGACTTTGTATGAAAATAAAAATCAGGGTTTTTTCCGCCTGCTTTTGTTCATTCAGTTCAAGTCACAATGTAGTGAAACAGAAGCCCCTTTTGCTTGTTACACTGGAAGCACTGGAAGCACGGGATCACAGCTGCTGCCCGCGTCATACATGCATTCATGCGAAGGTCCCAAATGTACTTACTGTATGTATGTTACCTTTGCCCATGCAACTGCAGACCCTTAAATAGGCAAGTGGAATGACTGTGTGGACAATGCCTATAAATGTACAGTTTATATGCATGCAAACTTCAGCCAGATATGCACGTTCAGCAGCAGCAAGCAGATGTGATCCCCATTTGTATACGCCAGGGGTCAGCAAACTTTTTCAGCAGGTGGCCAGTCCACTGTCCCTCATACCTTGTGGACGGCCGGACTATATTTTTAAGGGGGGGGGGTGAATGAACGAATTCCTATGCCCCACAAATAACCAAGAGATGCATCTAAATAAAAGCACACATTCTACTCATGTAAAAACATGCTGATTCCCGGACCATCCACGGGCCGGATTGCGAAGGCAATTGGGCTGGATCCGGCCCCCAGGCCTTAGTTTGCCTACCCATGGTATACGCATTGCCCTTGTTTACACATAATGCTAAACCATGCTGGACTAGATGGGCTATTGGCCTGAGTTATGTTCTTAACTCATGGTTTGCTAAACAAAGCATGTCTTAGTGTTATGTGAGAACCAGGTCATTCTGTTGAACATGTGACAGAGGCTCAAATTCACCATTCTTGAAGCATGCAGTAGACTTCAGACTTGCCTCCCTCTTCTTCAAAGCAGCCACAAACGTAAGCTTTTAATTCAGGTGAGCCACGGCTGATACCACCCAGAAGCTCAGGGTCCCAGGGTCCAGCTCCTTTTAGTGTGTCTGGGGCAGCCTATTATGCTGCAATCTCCAGTCCTGAGGGAAGGCAATTAAAATTAAATAGACTTTTACAATCATCGGCAAAAGGGCAAAAATTGTAGGCAGAAAGGTGAGCTGTTCCAATTGTTATATGGGGACAAATCTGTTGTTCATGGAGGTTAGAATTATGGAAGTGCATTCTGTATGGCAACAAGGCTGTATTTAATCACATTTGCTCAGGAGTGGAACATATAGAATATTCCCATTTCACTGGAAAGGAAACTATTCTTCTCAAATCCTGAATCACCTACACATAAGTTGGACCTTATGAAAATTCACAGAGGAATTGGGGTAGTAATTGGCCTCAGAGGAGGAAGCACAGTGGGAGCATCAAACAATCTGATGTACCGTATTTTTCGCCCCATAGGACGCACCGGCCCATAGGACGCACCAAGTTTTTTTGGGGGGAAATAAAGAAAAAAAATATTATTTCCCCCCCAGGCGCTTGTGGGGCCGGCAGTGGGGAGAAGCGCTCTTCTCCCCGCAGCCCACCTTCAGACCAGGTCCGGGGACAGCGGGAAGACGCGCTGCGTCTCCCAGCTGTCCCCGGAGCTTGTGGGGCCAGCAGTGGGGAGAAGCGCTCTTCTTCCCGCAGCCCACCTTCAGATCAGGTCCGGGGACAGCAGGAAGATGCGCTGCGTCTCCCCACTGTCCCCGGAGCTTGCGGGGCTGGCGGCGGGGTCTCCCTGCTGTCAGCCTCCAATCCACTTTGGGAGACAGCGGGATGGCGGCGTTCCGCCTCCCTCTGTCCCCCGACCTTGTGGGGCTGGCGCTGGGGCTCTCCTGAAGCCTGGAGAACGAGAGGGGTCGGTGCGCACCGACCCCTCTCACTCTCCAGGCTTCAGCGAAAGCCTGCATTCGCCCCATAGGACGCACACACATTTCCCCTTCATTTTTGGAGGGGGAAAAGTGCGTCCTATAGGGCGAAAAATACGGTAATCATTGTAACCACATCATAAATACCACAGTCATGCGGATCTGAACATCAGAAGTAGTTTTGGATGTATGAATGATTTCAGGATCCAGCACTGAAAGACATAGAGCTGCGGAGGAAGTCCAGTTGTGTGTGTGTGTGTGTGTGTGTGTGTGTGTGTGTGTGTGTGTGTTGGTAATAAATAAATAAAAGCACCATCGGTAGGAGGTGAGTGCAAGAGTTGTCTGGTTTTAAAAGGCTTGCTTTCACACATGCAAATCTTTAATTAAACCTACTCATAAAACTATAATGAACCGTTCATTTAATTAAATGGGGTGAGTCATTTCATTAATTTTTAGCAAACTGCAGAGCCGCTGTGTTGCCCTCATCTGCTGGAATTCAAAGGGAAGAGATGAACTGTTTAAAGGAAATTATCTTTTCTTGCATGGGGTATTTCAGTGGCTCCTTTGTTTTTCAAATGCACATGCGACTTGTTGGCTTTTGTTTAAATACACTACAGACTTTGATTTCGAAAACTTTGTTGTTGTTGTTTTACCCCTTGAAGTCACGCCTGTTTTTGTTTCTTGGTTATGTCACCCTCCTAACCTAGCTGCCCTACTCCAGGATGTAACGGATCGGGACACATCCGCGGGAAGTACGCAAGACACAGGAGGTGAGTTTTGGTCACCATCACCAACATGGCTGCCATTGTTGCCATCCTCATCAAATCCTCCAACCTGTCACATCTGGAAGAGCTTACCTATGCCCTGTGTTTCTTCCAGGCCTCTTTCAATTCATTGCATGCTGATTAAGGATGAGCAACTCTGTCAGTTTTGGTTTCTCACAGTTTTCACTTTTTCAGTCTTAAATCCAGGCCTCCGTATCAGTTTGTGATGTTTATTTTTTTTAAGTCTTCATGAAAATTCATCAACGTTTTGATGCCGATTTCTCCTAAGACACATTGTTGTGTGCAATTTTGCCTGATATACGAAATATTTTTTGCAAAGCGTATTTTCCCAACTATAATGTATTTTTGTGTGTTATTCTCACCAATGTTATTTCTGTGCACACTGTCCATGCATTTCTATGCAGATTGCTCGGCTAAAGAACCACACTGCCAAATTCAGAGAAGTGTAAATATCAAAGGATGAATGTGTTATAGTCTGCATATTGTTTCAGAAAGTGCAAATTAGGTAGATTTCAGTTTTAAATACAAACCAAATCCCTCCTAACTGGCTTGGGGTTCTCCAATATCACACTTGATGATAGTAGTCCATTGAAACTTTCCAATCAACAATGGGAGCCATGGGTAGGTTAGATATGGATATTTTTGACTCAGAAATTATTGATAGAGGTTAATGAATTAAAAAAATTATGGTGCGGACAAAGTTGATTCGGAAAACTGTTTCTTCCTCTCTCATAAAACTGCAGCTTGGGGTCAGCCAATGAAATCTATTCAGGACAGATAAAATGCATTACTTCTTCATACAACACACAATTCATCTGTGGAATTCACTGCCAGACATCATGAGGATGACAGCCACTAGCCCTAGATGGGAATAATTAATAATAATAATAATGATGATGATGATGATGATGATTTATTTATACCCCACCCTCCCCAGCCAAGACTGGGCTCAGGGCGGCTAACACCAGATATAAAACAATTGATTGAAATACAACTTTAAAAACAAGATTAAAATACAACATTAAAATGCAGCCTCCTTTCAGTAGAAACTCAAATCAAAAACTTTTTTGGGGAGGAAAAGTCTTCACCAAGGCCAACTATCCAGACTGGTCCTACGTGGGCCAGAAAAAAGCCAGGGAAGTCCCCAAATAGGAGTTCCATCACAGGAGGAGAAAGGAAAAAAGAAAGAGGGGGAGGGAATCAAATTGATTCCAAGCCGAAGGCCAGGCAGAAGAACTCTGTCTTACAGGCCCTGTGGAAAGAAATCAGATCCTGCAGGGCCCTGGTCTCATGAGACAGAGCGTTCCACCAGGCCAGAGCTAGTGTTGAAAAAGTCCTGGCTCTGGTTGAGGCAGGAGACAAATTAGCAGGAATATAAAAACACAGGAAACTACTTCATCCTGAGTCACACTATTGGTCCATCTAGTTCAGCTGACTTGCAGTGGCTTTCCAGGATTTTGGGCAGGGAACATTCGCATCCCTACCTGGAGATGCTGGGGATTGAACCTGGGACCTTCTGCATATAGATCAGATGCTCTGCCACTGAGCTACAGCCCCTGGAGGCATTTTTCTATCAACAGCTGGTAGACATGAGAGCCTCCATGTTCAGAGCTAGCATAGCTATGAGCACCAGTTGCTGGCAGTGAGGAGGACTGTGGTTTCCGCGCCTTCCTTGTGTACTCCCAAGTGGCTGGACACTATTGGAAACAGGACGCTGAACTAGATGGAAATTTGATCTTCTCTGGCAGGGATCTTCTGACATTCCTGTATTTTCTGGTAATCACTTCTGAGACCTTTAACAGATCTGGGTATCAAAATGTGTGGTTACTAGGCAGCCACCAACTGCTTTGCCTTCCCCTTTTCCAGTACGGGAAAGAAGTTGTTCTGTGGCTTTGAGCTTAGCGATGTGAAAGGGAAGCAACAGCATTCCTTGCTGTGGGCCTCAAGTCCCTAGAGCCTCAAAACAACTTTATGGGGTTGGTCTTGAGCTAACATTGACCTCTCTTCAGATATTCTGGTATCAAGTCTCCAACAAGAGTGACAGCTGCAGTGAAATTGCTATGGTGTGAAATTTGGCGTGTCACCTGACAAGTGACAGCTTGGCTACCTGTCTCATTGAAAGCCAATGCTTAAAGTAGCTCAGGAGACCTTGAAGAACTGGAGATCAGTTTATATATAGGGAGAAGTCTGTTTAAGTGCAAAACAGTTTGTACTACTCAAGAATGTAAAGCATGGGGAGGAGGGCTAACTTTTTTATTAACTAGCACCATTTATCCAACACAGTGCTTTGCAAAGAAAAGGTTTGCAAGGTCCCTGCCCCAATGAGCTTACACTCTTGTAGACATAGAAAAGGGTGAAGTGTGGGATATGCATTTATTTCAATTACACATACTTTGGCTCAGTTATAGTACAGTATCAGGAGTACAGTGGTACCTTGGTTGTCAAATGTAATGTGTTCCGGGAGTCCGTTCAGCTCCTGGAACCATTCGAAAACCAAGGCACGGCTTCCGATTGACTGCAGGAGCTTACTGTACTCTAGCGGAAACCGCGGAAGCCGCGTCAGATGTTCAGCTTCCAAAAACCGTTTGCAAACCAGAACACTTACTTCCAGGTTTGCGGCGTTTGGGAGCTGCTTTGCTTGGGAGCCAAGCCGTTTGACAACCAAGGTACTACTGTACTACTACCATGGCACAAATCAGAGAGTGGGAATTATCTGTTGCTCCTTGACTTGTGTACTTTGGGTGGCATATGTGAAAAGGCTCTAATGAAGTTACTGTGTACAGTGGTACCTCGGGTTACATATGCTTCAGGTTACATACGCTTCAGGTTACAGACTCTGCTAACCCAGAAATAGTACCTCGGGTTAAGAACTTTGCTTCAGGCTGAGAACAGAAATCGTGCAGCGGTGGCACAGCGGCAGCGGGAGGCCCCATTAGCTAAAGTGGTGCTTCAGGTTAAGAACAGTTTCAGGTTAAGAACGGACCTCCAGAATGAATTAAGTTCTTAACCCGAGGGACCACTGTACTCTCCAGTGAGAAATTGAGAAAATGAGAAATTATCTTTGTCACTACTGGCCCAGGCACGGTAAGGGGAGCAAAATACAATCAGAAAATAAGAAGATCCTGCTGGATCTGGAAAACAGAAGCAGGAAGCTCCTTCCTTCCTCCTCCAGCATCTCTCATGGAGTTTAGCTCCAGACGCGTTACATCAGCTAGAAACAAAGAGAATGGCTGGTTTCATGCCTTCAAATTGTTTCAATTAATCAGAGAGTGACAGTTTCATCACATGTCCAGAATGAAGCCATTACCTAAACATTGCAAATTAAGACACATGTACTTCAGCCAGTCTAGCCGGTTAGCTCTCAGGAAGCCAGTGCGTTACAGTGACAAAGCTCACTCTCTCTTCCTCCCCTGTTTTTTTTTGTTTTTTTTTTAGTTTACAAAGTTGCCCCCTCGCAAAGAAGAGGAAACTTCAAGGTGCAGAAGCAGAACATCTGGCCTCCAAGAGGAAATCTCACCCGCTTAAGCTAGCCCTCGATGAAGGCTACAGCATTGACAGCGATGGCAGCGAAGAGGCAGAAGCGAAAGAGGAGTCTGTGACGGACGACTCCGAGGGCACGCTGGAGGAGGAAGAGGCAGAAGCAATAGACCAAGAGGAGGCCTGCAGCAGCTGTCCACCGGGAGAAGGTGCTTTATTTCATTATTGGCTCGACTGCAAAGATTTATTTCGTGGGTAGGAATAAGAAAGGGAACGTTGACAATCTACAGAGTGATAGCTCCTCTAAATAATATGTAGATGCTGTCGTGGTAGACATAGAGGACATGCTAGCCAAGGAAGCTAGACATAAACTTTATTGGGCTCTCTCCAACACAAATCTAACAGGAAACTCCTGACTCCACCCAGAAGATGCAACTAAGTCCAGTGCCACCTAGTGACTAAACTATATAATGACACTATCCACATATCTTATTCGGTTGGAAGTCGCTTCAGGTTGCCTTGGGCAAGATAAAGCAAATAAAGATAACAAATTTTAGTAGGAGTAGTAGTAATATATTTTTTTAAAAAATCAGTATTTCACTGCTTTTTAAAAGGAACATGTCAGGGAACTGACATCGGAGCAGAGTGGAGAGGCTAGGCTCCCAGATTCTGCAGGAGAGGGAACTAGTAAGGGAAGAGAGAGAACGTCCTCTGGGGAAAGAAGTCCAGGTGACACCAGGAAGAAGGGAGAGGCAGAGAGCACTTCGGAGGGGAGGCTCCGAGACTCTTCCAGTGAAGTCAGTGAGGAGGGTGGAGGACCACCGCTTGGCACGCCCACTCTGCGCAGAAGGCTTCCGTGCAGAGAGGCGAGGCGAAGGTTGTCCGTTAAGGAATTCTTATGCTGGAGGAAATTTAGGAGACACCCACTGACGGATTCTGCCAGCGACTGAGCAGCAGCGCAAAAGGGCTGCTCAGCCAGGGAAAGACGCAACCACCCCAAGCAGTTTGGAACGGCTGGAGGTTTACACACACAAGCAACCCCAACATATACTAAAATGATGTAGAACACTATAGAGGAGAGAGTTGAGAAGGCTGTTCATTTGCATGCTCCAGAGAAGCGGATTACAGCAATTGAGAATCCAAACTACAAGAAAGAAGATTCCACCTAAACATTAGGAAGAACTTCCTGACAGTAAGAGCTGTTCGACAGTGGAATTTGCTGCCAAGGAGTGTGGTGGAGTCTCCTTCTTTGGAGGTCTTTAAGCAGAGGCTTGACAACCATATGTCAGGAGTGCTCTGATGGTGTTTCCTGCTTGGCAGGGGTTGGACTCGATGGCCCTTGTGGTCTCTTCCAACTCTATGATTCTATGATTCTATGATTCTGTATGCCACCTTGAGCTCCTTCCAGGAAAAAGTCGGATAGAGTTGCAATAAATAAAATAAACCCAACATCATGCTATTTAATTTTAATTACTTCCAATATTCGCGAGACCATTGGTGCCTATTTTGCACTATCCACTTTGTGCCTGGGGGCCAGAGGGGGAGACAGACATACCTTTGCTTGACCCTAGTTACATTAATGATAATGCAGTATGTGCTTTCAAGATGTTACCAATCCATTAGCACCTCTTCTGTCATTAGCCACTAGAACCTTTTCATTAACTGCAATGGGCACCAGTTCACCCAAAGACTCGTTGGCACAGCAACGAGAGAACTATTGGCAATAACCAAAGTTATTGCCTTGCTTAGCTTGGGGAGCCCAGATTCATTGCTTTCCCCCATGTAAATGAAGGCAACGCTGTACGTTTCCATTGACAACATCCTTCTGTGTGATATTTTCCGCACATAAATATCAGTCTAGAGAGGCATTAGACAAAGCACACAAGTATCTAGTTGATGACTTCTGGAGGCATCCTGGGGAAAATAAATGTCAGGCACTGATGTTCATCTCATCAGAGGGAACAGTTTTAGGAAAGAAAACGGTCTGTTTACCTGCCATGGCTGAATGCTATAAATATGGCCACACCAGGAGTGTAATAGCAAGGCACGGGTTTCAATCAAACCTTTAAAATGGGCTATTTAAATGTTTATGTGTGGGGGGGGGTGTCCCCCAGCTATTCTTCCCTGCTTAAGTTGGGTGGCCACTTTTCAATAAGGGGGGGGGGATTGGACATGGGTTGCCATACGTCCAGATTTTCCTGGACATTTCAGCAATCTCCGTCCGGTCACTGATTCTAATGGCAGAATCCCAACGATGTCTGGGAAATTCTAGACGTATGGCAACCCTATCTTAAGGGCCAAACCCCCAAGCCACAACAGAATATAGCACCCAGCCTGTTCCAGACCAGCTACAAGAGAAAACTGCAAAGACCTGATGAAGAGAGCACAGCAGAGGTTATATTTTCTGAGAATCCTCCGGAAAAACAATCTCTCAAAGGACCTGTTGATGGCATTTTACCATTGTACTGTGGAGAGTGTATTAACTTATGGTCTCTGTGTGTGGTTTGGGAGCTGCACGGCCAGGGGAAAACAATGCTGTCCAGGGTTGTAAAGACTGCAGAGAGAATAATTGGGTGCAGTCTTCCCACCTTAGATCAAATCTATGCTGTCAGGTGCCATAAGAAAGCTGCAGAGATAACGCAGGATAGTATGCACCCCGGAAATGATTTCTTTCAGCTTCTGCCTTCTGGAAGAAGGTATAGCGTTATAAAGACCAGGACTAGTCGCCTGAGAAACAGTTTCTACCCAAATGCAATTCTGGTTCTAAACACAGTATAAGGAGTCTCTATAGTATATTGTATTTTTAAATGGGGTTTCAGAGTTTTTAGGGGTTTTTGAATGTCTTATGTAGATTTTTCAATTTCATTGTTCTGTATGGGACAGTGACAATAAAGATATTGTATCCTATCGTATCAAGAAATAATTGCCAACTCTTTTATTTCTAGGCCAAATATCAGAAGGAACTCTTGCAGCCAAGGGGCAGGTGTCCAAAAGTGAAGGACAGGTCTCCAACACTGGGGAGGATGTGCACTTGCTACATGAAGGAGCAGCGGAGGAGGAAGAGGAGGAGGAAGAAGAAGAAGAGGAAGAGGAAGAGGAGGCAGTTGAGGAGGAATGTGAAAAGGAGATCATCATCCAAACGGAGGATGCGGAAGAAGTCATTGAGGTCACCAGTGAACGCAGTAGCGATTTGTGCCTGGAACATCGGGATGATGAGGTGAGCTATGAGGAGTCTTGCAAATTGCAAAAGGAGGAGGAAGATGAGGAAGAGGAAGAGGAAGACAATGAAGAGGAGGAGGAGGAGAGAAGATGAAGAGTATGAGGAAGAGGAGGAAGAGGAGGAGGAGGAAGAAGAGGAGGAGGAGACATCGACTGCAGTGATCTGTGAAGAAGCTCCTCACACATCTCAGGACTCCCCAAAAACCCACTGTGAAGGACAGATAGTCGGCTCCAAGCCTGAGTATTCTGTCATTGTGGAGGTGAGATCAGACGATGACAAGGACGATGATTGCCACTCCCAGAAATCCACTGTGACTGATGAATCTGAGATGTATGACATGATGACCCGGGGGAACCTGGGTCTCTTGGAACAGGCCATTGCTCTGAAAGCTGAACAGGTTAAGGTTGTGAGAGAGCCTGGCCAGCAGCTGGCCGGGGAGCATGTGAAACTTTTCCAGGTCGAGGACAAGCAAAACAAAGCCCTGGACTCCATCAGAAAGAGCTACTACAGCAAAGGTGAGGACGTTGTCCTTCCAGTGGCAAATAAACTGCTATCCCCACCCCCCAGTGGCAATGAAAATGAGTTTGGTAGGGCCTGGGAGCCCTGTTCCTATAGATCTGTAACATCTGGGTGCCCCTGTGTCCCTTCCAGCCCACCGTTCTCAGGGCCAATGCAAAGTTTGAATGGTTCCAGTAAATACAAAATAATCAGAGGATGGTAGAACAGAAGTAACTCATCTTCTGTCACGCTGTCTCTGTGAAGCCTAATGGAAAGAAGCAAATGGACCCTGCAATGGTTTGGTCAATGGTTGTTTCTGCAATGGTGCTGCCATATTGTATTCTGCAACCTTCATTGGCTGCTGTTTTGTGTTGACTTCAGTACCCTACTGTGTGCTCCTATAAGTGACAAAGGAGTAAAACCTTCAGAGTCTGCATACACTTGAATATTCCCTCCACTCCTACTCGAGGGAAGAGTGCTGCTTCCAGATGGGTGTTGCTTGTGGAATCAGTGTTTCTCATGAGTTTTTTGCAGCATCCAAATGAAGTCATTGTCACCCAAATGCCAGCCTGTGTTTTTCCTGCATTTAATCCAAATTTACCATTTCTGGGGGAAATCCAATAAGATTAAAAACAAAAAACACCTGTTGCCAGCAGTATCTCACTGACGCATTAGCAGTCTTAAGCTCCTATCTGGAAGCACCTGGGGAATCCTCCCTCCATACAAGCCCTGCTGGATCAGTTGTCCAACATCCAGTCCAATATTCTGTTATCACAATGGTCAACTGATCCGTTGCCCACAGGAATCCCACAAGCGGTGAGTGCACAATAGCTCTCTCCAGCTACTGGCATTTAGAGGCACAAACTTTCATATACAGGAGGCCATAATGATACCGGAGAATAGAGTTTCCCATACATTCATTGGGACTATTCAGTGAAGTAGTTCGCAAGAAGGTTTGGGGCAAACAAACATCCTAAGCATTCTTCATACAATTCTAATTCACCTGGGAAACTCATTGCCATTAGACATGCCAACAGACTCTAGCACAGATGACTTTCAGGAAGGATTATCTTCTTTCTTCTTCTTTGGCGATCACTCATAGCCAAGTAAGATTGTCTTCCATAAACACGGTCTTAATAGTGAGTCCGTAAGTGACTATGGAGGCCAATTCTGGATCCACACGTCCTTCCACAGTGGGGACATTGGTTCCTGGGCGGGAGTTGATCACGGTGTGGATTTGCCAAGTGTGTCTTCCTCTTAGCACGTTTCTCCCTTGCATCTTGAGTTCAAGCGACACCTTTGGTAAAGGCTGTTCTCCAACTGGAGCGCTTGCAGGCCAGTGTTTCCCAGTTGTTGGTGTTTATACTACATTTTTAAAGATTTGCCTTGAGAGAGTCTTTAAACCTCTTTTGTTGACCCCCAGCATTACGCTGTCCATTTTTAAGTTCAGAATAGAGTAGTTGCTTTGGAAGACGATCATCAGGCATCCGCACAACATGACCAGTCCAACGAAGTTGGTGTTGAAGAATCATTGCTTCAAGACTGGTTATACCAGTTCATGGAAGATAGATCAATTGATGCATATGAACCACAGTGGCATAAAATACACCCACAGGGTGGGTGACTATCTCAATAACACCTTGCTTCCTAGGGGTGTCTTGGGGGTTACCGTGGGAGATGCTGGATTAGAGTGTTTTGGGCTAATCCATCAATCCATTCCTTAAATTCTTTGTTCATATGACCATAGGATTGCAATCCAGTAGAACAACTGGCTACTTGCACAACTGCAGCTTAAATTGATCTATAGAATCAGACTGTAGGAAACATAAACCTGCATAAGAGCTTCCTTCTATCATGGGTTTTAGGGGTAGCGATAGGTAACAATATCTGAAGAGTTACCTATCTTTCCCAGAGCTGTTTGGTACTATTGGGTGACTCTTTCCCACTGATCTTTTGTTGTTGTTGTTGAGATGTACATTTACTGTCCCTCTGGACAGGTGTCCCCCACCCTAGTGCCCGCCAGATGTTTTGGAAGACAGCTGCCATTGGCGCCAGCCACCATGACGGGCACTAGGTTGGGGAAGGCTGGTCATGAATTGTGTAAGTAAATTTTCACCTGAAATGAAATGCAAAAACAGATTCAGAGGTATTCTTAATAACACTGGTTTGATTTTCTCGTGGACTTTTTTGCACGTCTCATGATGTTCCTCCTGCACCCTCTCCTCCCTGCATTTCCTAGATCCTTCAAGACCCGAGAAGCGAGAAATCAAATGCCCAACCCCTGGCTGTGATGGCACAGGGCATGTCACGGGGCTGTACCCTCACCACCGCAGTTTGTCTGGCTGCCCGCACAAAGACAGGATCCCTCCAGAGAGTGAGTGTGACTTGGAGTTATTTACAGGACAGAAACGGTCCAGCTTCTTCTTTTGCAAGAAATACTACTGCTGAATGGATGAATGGATGAATGAATGAATGAATGAATGAATGAATGACAAATCCATCATCTCCAATGAATGTGGAGAAGGGGGGCGGGGTGTTCCAGGTGCAGCAAGGCAAAGGTGAAAGTGGAAAAGAGAACAGAACAGTTGGGTGGCAGCTGAGCAAGCAGGGAAGGCAGGAGGGCCTGTGACCTAGTTGCCTCTGCAATGTCCTGGACCAGCCTTTCTCAACCTGTGGGTCCCCAGATGTTGTTGCACTACAACTCCCATCACCCCTAGCTAGTAAGGCCAGAGCTCAGGGATGATGGGAGTTGTAGTCCAGCAACATCTGGGGACCCACAGGTTGAGAACCGCTGTTGTGGATGCTTGAAGGCCAATCCCATGTCTGCTTACTTGGAAATAAGTCACATTTGAAGAAAATGGGACTTCTGTTTCCTGGGATTTGCTTCCAAATAAGTATACAAAGGACTGCGCCCTTCAATAAAGTGATATCTTCCTTAATATGGTTGCATTTATGCAGGTAGACCCAAATTAATATCTGTTTTCTCTAAGCGGACATAATTTTGCAATGCATAATTTTGCATTTAGGCTGTTATACCAACCAATCAGTATGTCTGCTTAGCCATGAATGAATTTCAAAATGAGAAAGTCGATTTAAATCAATTGTTTACACCAAGCAGGTGTAGCTTCCTGGTTATTTAAATCATGGTTTAAAACAATAATTTAAATGGACTCAACTTAAGTCAACCCACCTGCAATCAAAATTGACCACATTCACTACATTTCCAATGCTTTCAGTGGGCAAACATGTTTGCCCTCTTGTGGCACATTGTCTGAAAAATCGCCAAAAGGATTTGTTTAAAAGAATTGCTGCCCAAAATGTTTTTAAAAACTACCCATCCCCCTTTCAGCTCATCCGTATTTTCAAAAAAGACATGACAATGGCTTACAAAATGTCCTTAATGTTAAGTTGTGGTCTCAACATCATTTTGACGACTGCGTGCCCACCGTACTCGGTTATGCTAGGCACTGTAGCTCACTGGTTAAGAGACTGAGCTGTGAGCTAAGCTGGTTTTTCACTTCAGCTATGAATTCATTCAGTCGCCTCAGGCAAACCACTGTCTCTTAGTGCACACCCACACAAGTTGTAAGCTAAAGGAAGTTGTGTGGTAAGCCTTTCCCCCCCCAAAAAAAACTTTGAGAAAGTTCTTTGGGCACCCCAATGATGGGGGGGTCATTTTCCCTCTCCCACCCCCACCCCTAAAATGGCCAAAAGCGGGGATTGCAACATATTTTTTCATTGCTCTGCTTATGCATATACAGTACTTAACTGTCTTCCAGTGAATTAAGTGGAATTTTAGACTGATCACCTTCTGCTGAATTCGGCTGCTACCATTCATAAGATAGTTGCCATAGCTCTCAGCCTGTTACACCCCTGTTTTCTTAAACACAAAGTGAGGATAAGTCACCTCTGAAAATACAGTTTCTTAGAAAGTATTCCTTCTTGTCTGGAATGAATCAGACACTTCATTCATACTGATTTCCATGAAATGTTAAAGAGGGAAAGAGAGATGTTTGCAAATTATCTTTTCCCTCTTTTTAAAAAATGCAAACAGTATGTATGAGGCAGGCGTGGCAAAACACAAAGGAAATGGAAAAGTCAACTTTTTCCTGCTATTAAATATAAATTGGTATTGGAAAGTTTCATATACTTTCTCCCCAAAGGGCAAATGTTTGTTATTTGTGGGTTTAATTCATGTCTTCATAACAACATCACAGGAATCGCTATGTGCACATATGAAAATAAAGTGAAAATCTGCCTTATCAGTTCACTTCAAAGGTTTTAGACTTGAGGGGAAATGAGACAAGGGGACATCAGTTATTTTCTCATATGTGTGATTTTTTTTTAAAAAAAGAACTGAAAAACAAATTAATTCCTTTGCTTTTAAGGTCATCACCGCAGGAGGTAGTAATCCTGAAGATTAAAAATATTTTTTTAAAAAACAAAACAAAATAAGAGACTATAGATAATTCCAATTGCTTGAAAGTACCTGAAACAGATAGGCAGGAGAAGCGCAATGCAGTAGGAAATATATATATAAAAAATACGTTTTTATCTTATTTTTTAAAATTCACATTTAAACTCATTCTATTACGGGACCAAAAAACCTTGCATGTGGCTTCCAGGGCAGGGAGTTCTGCAGAGAGGGTTGGGCTTTGGGGCACAAGCCCAGGGCTATGCAGGCTAAAAGTAAAGGTAAAGGGACCCCTGACCATTAGGCCCAGTCGTGACCGACTCTAGGGTTGTGGCACTCATCTCGCTTTATTGGCTGAGGGAGCCGGCATACAGCCTCCGGGTCATGTGGCCAGCAGGACTAAGCCGCTTCTGGAGAACCAGAGCAGCGCACGGAAACGCTGTTTCCCTTCCCGCCAGAGCGATACCTATTTATCTACTTGCACTTTGACGTGCTTTCGAACTGCTAGGTTGGCAGGAGCAGGGACCAAGCAACAGGAGCTCACCCCGTCACGGGGATTCGAACTGCTGACCTTCTGATCGGCAAGTCCTAGGCTCTGTGGTTTAACCCACAGTGCCACCCGCGCATTGGTTAATTTTTTGCTTGGTGGAGGGGCTGTGCCTGCCCTCCAATGCTGCTGCTGCAAGGGAATTCCATTAAAGGAATCCAGGGGCTCACCATGCTTTTGTCTGAATCCCTGGCATGGGGCTTGGGATGCGCAAGCCCCTGGGAGCATGTGGGGAGAGGTGAGGGTATGGTGCCCAGCTCCACTTTCTCCCCAATATTGTTTTCCCTTACTGGCCCCAGAGTCGACCACAACTGGACCTAATGGTCAGGGGTCCCTTTACCTTTATCCGCAACCTTACAAGTTATGGCGATTTGCTACGCAGTAGGCAAAAACCAAATGGCACCAGCCAATCAGCCAAATGGACAAAATTCCTACCAGGCCCCTGCCCCAAAAGCGGACGACTCCATGACAGGCATAGCAAGGTCAAATGCAAAAGGCCCTAAATTAGGGAGGGTGGGCGGGTGATCCGGTGCATGCAGCAAATAGAACTCTCAATGCTGCATGCTCAGTATATTGGCCCATCCCACAAATTGGCAGCATCAAAATTCCCCCAGTAACTCAAACAGCCGAACACTGCTATGGCCATCTGTACGATCCACCCAACAACAGAGGGGTAGCCTGTCAGACCCCACCACAACACATGCTCTCCATGAAGGGGAACACGCTTTACCAGCTTTGGTTGGTGCAGCTGAAGGATATGGAATGAGGTGCTCAGACGAGCCCAAACAACTGCTTGTTTTCTGAGACCTGATGAACCATCTGTTTTTTTTTCTTTCTTTAATCGTGTTGTGGTTTTTCCCCTTCCTCCTCCGCATCCCTCCCCTTTCCTTTCCTTCCTTTATAATAAAGTCTTGGCCATGCACGAGAATGTATTAAAATGCCCGACGCCAGGGTGCACCGGACAAGGCCACGTGAACAGCAACCGCAACACTCACCGAAGGTACGTGATTCACAGCAGGAGCTCAAAGTTATCCTAGAGCTAATTTAAAAACTGTTCAGGATAGGACAACAGAAGTCTTGGGTTCAAGAAGGCATTTTGGGGCAGAAAAAGGCAGATAACTGTTAAATTGTGGGGAACATATCAGGCGACACAGCGATTCTTCAAACAGCTCTTGTTTATTCACAGGCCAGGACAGAACTGAACTGAAGGGTTCAGTCAGCCTGCTTATATAGAGCTCCAGTACAATGTAACTGTAACAATTTTCTAAAACTATCCAATCACTGAATGTCACTTTCGATCCCTTATTTGCATAACTATCTACAGTATCCACCTGCTGATCCAGGGTGAGAACTTCAGTACATAACAATAACAAAAGCATAGCATTTGGTGATTGTACATCTATGAACTTCTAGCCCAGATATAAGCAACGTGAACCTACAGGAAAGATGATAATAGTTCTGCCCTACCAATAGTGAAATGCACGTGCATGAAATGGTGAACACACAATGATATTTGCATGGCTTAATTGCAGTGTAGGAATTCTCTTGTACGATACAAAGCGGTTTCAGAAACAGATTCTATAGATTGTAAGACCTATTTGGGAAGGGAATGTGTTATATGGAAATGCATGCTAGAATCTAAGCAATCTCTAAGAATCATTTCCCTGGGAAATGTTGAGAGCAACAGATCAGGTTAAGACCTGAACTCACTGGATCAAAGGTGTCAGTCATAAACATGGCACACACAGTTGCTCAGTTTGTTAAACTTTGTGCATTGGGCTGGGGACAAGAAATGTACCCTTTTTTGTGGGCCTAGATCAGAAGAAAAAAATAGATATGTTCCTTCAGTTAATTGAGAAGATCCATTTGGCTTTAACCAGTAGCCAGCCAGCGAAGGAAAGTAAAATTAAAATCTCCACTGTTGCTGATGTGCAGGGCAAAGACTACGTTCCCTTTCTCAGTCCCTGTGGCCTGAGAGCTCCCCCACATCCTCCTCTCCCCTTCCTGCAGGTGATATTCAGATTCCCTTGTATGGTAAATGATTAAGTGTGGCAGGCACAGGGCAAACGTTTGGCACAATAGTGGCACAAGCTGCTTTTGGGATGGATCCGGGTTCAGTCCTGCCATCAAGGTACCAGGACCCTGGATTGCATGCAGTAATTTGAGCATCAGATTGCATGAGTTGCTTTGATGCTCGTATAGAAAATAACACTGGGGTATAAGCAGCCGAAGAGTTGTGTCCAAAATTGCGCTAAGTGGCTAGTTCTATCAACACAAGGATTTCTGCTTTCCCTCCTCCTCCCCCCATGTCCCCCTCCCTAAATTTGTTCTGGGGGTTACCCCAACCCTCTGGAGCAGATTTGGGGAGGGTGTAGGATGTGCATTCAGGGATGAGAGAGGGGAAAGTTCCATTGTACGAGAGTAATGAAATGAGTGTATTGGATAGTGACCTAAATCACTGTAGCTGACTATGGTTGTCAAGTTGCAATGTGGAGAATTCTTTTTAACTTTAATTCTGTTGCCCAGTTTCTTGTAAGGGTCTTGTGGCTCGTCTCAGCCTGTGATTGCCACCTGCCCTATCCAGTCCTCTCCTGCTGAAGCAAATTAGAATTTATTTTTGCCCCACGCCATGCAATTTTTCTTTATAGAGTATGTCCAGGTGGCAGCCTGCCAGCCCTAATTAACTGAACACATTTTTGCTGGATTATGCAAACATAGATTGCGTCCCCAAAATAAGATTGGTGGCCAGCTCAGCTTAAGTCCTGGGCTATGGCATTCATAAAGCTGCTATCTGCACTTCATATTGCTTTGGGGAAACAAAGGGTGGAATTCAACGTCGCACTGTTACAATTGTCATCATTGTTTTATTTTTCATTTCGTTTCTATACCGCTTTATATTTTAAAGAGAAAAAAACCCCTCAAAGCATGAACACATCAAATGAAACAATCCAGAATAAAACAAATTCAAGCTTCAAGGAAAGTATTTCAGATCCCTCTCTGTGTGTCATTTTGCTTTCTCCGTATTTCGTTACCCACTTGGTTTATGTAGCTGCCACATAGCAGAAGAACTCTAGGAAGACAGTGTGGTGTAATGGTTAGAGTGACAGACTCAAATCCCCACTTGGTCATGAAGTCATTGGTGCAAGAATTTCTGCTCCCTGGATGGAACAACCTCCCCTCTCCTCCCTCTGTGTGCTGTTCTAGGGGTACTCCTGACACCCCCAGAACTTATATGGGGGAAGTAGAATCATAGAATTGGAAGAGACCCCAAGACTCATCTATTCCAACCCCTTGCAATGCAGGAATCTCAGCGATAGCATCCATGACAGATGGCCATCCAACCTCTGCTTAAAAACCTCCAAGGAAGAAGAGTCTAGAACCTCCCGAGGGAGACCGTTCCACTGTGGAGGAGCTTTCACTATCAGAAAGTTTTTGTATGTTTAGAAGAGAGGGGAAAGTCCAGTTTTGCTAGCAAGACTCACTGTGCCGGCTCCCACTAAATTTTAATCTCACGTCTGCCATGCAGTCACTAGATGGCTTTAGGCAAGCTGTATCCCTTACCTTTCTTCCAATATTAGAATAATACTTAAAAGGTAAAGGTAAAGGGACCCCTGACCATTAGGTCCAGTCGTGGCCGACTTTGAGGTTGCGGCGCTCATCTCGCTTTATTGGCTGAGGGAGCCGGCGTACAGCTTCCGGGTCATGTGGCCAGCATGACTAAGCCACTTCTGGCATACCAGAGCAGCGCACGGAAACGCTGCTTACCTTCCTGCCAGAGTGGTAACTATTTATCTACTTGCACTTTGACATGCTTTCAAACTGCTAGGTTGGCAGGAGCAGGGACTGAGCAACGGGAGCTCACCCCGTCGCAGGGATTCGAACCGCCGACCTTCTGATCAGCAAGTCCTAGGCTCTGTGGTTTAACCCACAGCGCCGCCTGCATCCCAGAATAATACTTACTGACCCATTATACCCAGTTCTTGCATGGATTACAGCACGGCAATGCATGTGAAGCACTTTGAACACTCTAGAGCAGCCTTCCCCAACTTGGTGCCCTCCAGATCTTTTTGGACTACAACACCCATCAGCCCAGCCCAGCATGCCTAATGGGCAGGGATGGTGAGAACTGCAGTCTAACATTGGGACGGCACCAGGTTGTGGAAGTCTGCCGTAGCAGACCCTCCAAGTGTCCCTATTTTACAGCGACAGTCTCGGATTTACAGAAGCTGTCCTGGTTTCTGATTTGAGCCTGGAATGTCCCGCTTTTCCTTAGGACGTCCCTATTTTCATCAGAGAAATGATGGAGGGCATGTTAGGGCACCGCTATTTTTCATCGGAGAAATATTGGAAGATATGCAGTTATGCAACCCCCATGCAAAGGAGATAAGTAACTATACAGTCATACCTTGGAAGTCAAATAGAATCTGTTCCAGAAGTCCATTCGACTTCCAAAACATTCAGAAACCCAGGCACGGCTTCTGATTGGCTGCAGGAAGTTCCTGCAGCCAATCGGAAGCTGCAGAACCCACATCAGATGTTCAGGTTCCAATGAACGCTCGGAAGCCGAAACGCTCACTTCCAGGTTTGCGGCGTTTGGCAGCCAAAACCTTTGACTCGCAAGGCGTTTGACTTCCGAGGTACGACTGTACAACCTTTAGAAGACATCTGAAAGCCGCCCTGTGTAGGGAAGTTTTTTAATGTTTAATGTTTTATTATGTTTTTATATATGTTGGAAGCCGCCCAGAGTGGCTGGGGCAACCCAGTCAGATGGGCGGAGTATAATTATAATTATTATTAAATAGGACGTCCCTATTTTCATCAGAGAAATGTTGAAGGCTTTGCTGTAGAGTGCAGTATTTCTATTATTACTTTCCTCCCTAAGATACTGAATTATTTGGGTAGGTTTGAACAATTTGGGGCAATTAAAACGTTAAAAGTTAAATAAACTTTGTGGATGGAGGCAGTGGCATAGCGTGGGGGGTGCAGGGGGGGCCGGCCGCACCGGGCGCAACATCTGGGGTTAGGGCAAATCCACAGGTTAGGGGGCGCAAATCCACGGGTTAGGGGGCGCAAATTACTTGCCTTGCCCCAGGTGCTGACAACCCACGCTACGCCACTGGATGGAGGAGTGTTAACGTATATAAAATTGTACATATGGTTGATTTGAATATGTTATTATTTGATTATGCCCAATGTATCAGCCGCCTGGGGGGTTTCACTGTTTGTGTTTTGGTTGTTGGTAAAAATAAAAAATAAATTTAAACATTAAAAAAATGTAACACACACACACAAAAATTACTTTCCTCCCTTCCTCTCTCATGCCATTTTTCCGTTCCTTCCTTCTTTCCTTCCTTCCTACAGCTTATCCGGGTGCCCCATTGCCGCTGCTGAAAAACTAGCCAAATCTCACGAGAAGCAGCAGCCCCCAACTGGCGACCCATCAAAGAGCAGCTCAAATTCTGATCGGATACTCAGGTAAATGGACAAGCAGATCCTATGCCACCTGCTCTTCTTCCCTCCCTCCCCCCAACCGCCACCAATAATATAATATCTCTGAAAGAACAGCAAGTCACCACTTATGCGAGTGCCAGCATATCTTGTTCCTGCTGATGCTTTTCTTACTGTCAAATGTCTCTGCAAACAGTTTTTAAAAATGTAATTGATGTTTCTAGGCAGGGCAAGGGAGGACAACGAATGGCTTCTGTAGCATCAATTAGTGCCGAGACAACAGGCCAAAGGGTTTTTCACAGTGCAGCCATACTGCGCCCGTACTGATTACACTGCATTGCAAACTGACAGAGAATTACAGCTATCATATTGACATTATGAGGATGGAGGCAGAAAGCCACAATCCAATATTTCAATTTCTGTTATATTGTTAACACATCCCCAAGCCCTTTTGTTTCTTACGACTGTGTAGCTTTCGGGGGCAGAACTTGTCTCTGATTTAACGATCAGAGAGTTTAGCATGCTTGCTCCGTGGAATGGCTATGTTTTTGAATATATACAATCGTGATATATTTGAACAGGAATTGACGGAAGATACATGGGAAACCAAATGTCAAAAGATTTTGAATAAATGGACAAGTTATAGGAATTGGATAGCACGGGGGGAAGCCAACCCAAGCATCCAAATTAGAAAGAATAATCTGTGCACATGGTTAAAGATTTGAATAGAGAACAATTTTGGGGAGGAGGGGTTAAAGGGGAGGGAGGGAGGGGGAAAATTAGGATAAATGAGTAGGGACAAAAGTATATACTGTTATATTAACAGTTGCCATTAATCTGATTTGAATTAATTTTACTAATGAAATTATTTTAGAATGTTGTATCATTTTACTGTTGTTAGCCGCTCTCAGCCCGGCTTCGGCTGGGGAGGGCGGGATATAAATAAAATATTATTATTATTATTATTATTATTATGCAAAACTAATAGGAGGATGGTTTTGATGCATGTTATTAGATTTTCGACTGAATGGTGTGGGGGTTTTTTGTAAGTTATTCGACGTCCCAGGATGAAAGTGTGATTATAAAGAATGGGGAAAAAATTATTAATATAATTTAAGAGGCACTTAGCACTATTAAATAAAAATTAAAATGCTTGCTCGTGCTACCCCTTCACCAGCTGACTACAGATTGTGCCAGCCAGACTAGAAACGGTTATATCACACACTCACACACACATCAAATCTCTTCCATCATGGGCTTATAAATTTGGAACAAACTACTACACTGTGGGTCAGTGGCGTAGCGTGGGTTGTCAGCACCCGGGGCAAGGCAAGTAATTTGCGCCCCCTAACCCATGGATTTGCGCCCCCTAACCTGTGGATTTGCCCTAACCCCAGATGTTGCGCCCGGTGCGGCCGGCCCCCCCTGCACCCCCCACGCTACGCCACTGCTGTGGGTGGAATCCAGCATAGCGCAAAGTCTCTCCCATCAGATTTCTTCCTGCACAACAGAATATTCCTTCCTTTCTTTACCACACAATGCACCCCTTAAATTTGTTCTATGGGATCCTCCAACCCTCTGGAACAAATTTGGGGGTGGCATGTTGTACTCAGGTCTGGGGAAGAATGAATTCCTGTTGTGCAAGGAGAAATCCTTGCATTTGACTAGACATGGTAGTTACAATCATTTTTTTAAAAAATCTATTATAATCCTCTTGCAAAAAACGCCCGCACCCCTGTTTATAGTATTTATAGTATCTCACCACATGGTTTTCCCTCCCACAATAGATGTCATATTCTACGCTCTCTGTGTTCAAAGTACCCGCTGCTTTCCTTCTCACAAACAAAGCCAAAAACTCATATTTTGTTTTTCAAAAGCCTCCCCACAAAATTACACCCAGAATGGAAACGTTCTGCGCGAGTCTCAGTCTCTTCTTTTCTCGTCCTCCTCAGGCCAATGTGCTTTGTGAAGCAACTGGAGGTGCCTCAGTACGGGAGCTACAGGCCCAATATGGTTCCTGCCACGCCAAGGGCCAACTTGGCCAAGGAGCTGGAGAAGTACTCCAAGGTCACCTTCGATTATGCAAGTTTTGATGCTCAGGTTTTTGGCAAACGCATGCTTGCCCCAAAGATTCAGACTAGCGAAACCTCACCTAAAGCCTTTAAATGTAAGTTGGAGCTGGTCACGGACACTGCTTTGGAATGTCCTGGAGGGTGTTTTGTTGTTTCTTGTTGGTGGTGCATAAGTCTTGCCCTGTGCTGGATCTGACCCAAAGTCGATCTGGTCCAGCTTGCTGTTTTCACAGAACAACTACGAATCCCCACGGTTTACCACCCTGAACCAGGGGGTTCCATTTTGCTGTTGTGGCTAGTAGTCACCGATAGACCCGCAGTCCATACATTACAGTGGTACCTTGTGTTACATACGCTTCAGGTTACATACGCTTCAGGTTACAGACTCCGCTAACCCAGAAATAGTGCTTCAGGTTAAGAACTTTGCTTCAGGATGAGAACAGAAATCATGCTCCGGTAGCGCGGCGGCAGCAGGAGGCCCCATTAACTAAAGTGGTGCTTCAGGTTAAGAACAGTTTCAGGTTAAGTACGGACCTCCGGAACGAATTAAGTACTTAACCTGAGGTACCACTGTAGTCTAATTCCTAAAACACAGCTGAGCTATTGGCTGTCACCAAATCCTGTGGCAATGGATTTAATAAACTGATTACTTTTTTTGCAGGAGTTCAGCCTTTTGTCTATCCTGAACCTTCTGCCAATCCACTTCATTGTGCAAATCTGTGTTTTAGTTATTTACAAGGGACAAATTAACTGTTACCTGCAAACATGTGTAATGTAACCCGACGGTCCTTTTTTGCCTTGAAAAAGCACCTCAGTGTAGAGTTGGTGGGTGCGGGGCTCTTTAACCCTTCCCTGCCCAGTTTCTCTATTCCACATCAACGTGTAGCCAACCACTGGTTTCAAACAGATGTTTGTAAGTACAGACTTCATCCCTGATCCTGGTGACTCGATCCTGGTGGACTCGATGGCCCTTGTGGTCTATTCCAACTCTATGATTCTATGATGATAGTAGCCTTTGAAAATCAAGTACATAGGGTTATATCCAAAAAAGTTCTAAGAACACAAGAAGTACGTGCCGGATTAGGCCAACACCCTATTCTCAGGGGGAGCCCAAAAGCTGAACCCAAACAAAAGAGCGCTGTCCCCTCCTATAGGGTTGCCATATTTCAAAAAGTAGAAACCAGGACACCTCGAAAGTTGCTGAGGTTTTTTTTTTTACGGAATATCCAAAGATTGTTGATCCCCAAACTGTTGAGCTTTTTTCTTTTTCTTTTTTCTTTTTTTACAAAAATGCCAAAAGAAGTTGGTTGACTTGCCTAAGATCCAGGACAAAACACCGCCTTTTGGAAATTCCCCCAGGACGTCAATTCAGCCTTTGAAATCTCAGTAACGTCCGGCAAAATCTGGCAGGCATATGGCAGCCCTAACCTCCTGCACAGCCTTTCTCAACCTGTGGTTCACCAGATGTTGTTGGACTGCAACTCCCCTCACCCTTAGCTAGCAAGGCCAGAGCTCATGGATGATGGGAGTTGTAGTCCAACAACATCTGGCAACCCACAGGTTGAGAACCGCTGCTGTTGCAGCTTCCAGCAAGTGGTATTCAGACACATATCGCCTCTACAGGGCATAGCCATCACAGCCTTATCCTCCAAGAATTTAGCTAATCCTCATTTAAAGCCATCCAGGTTGGTAGCCATCACTGTCTTCTTTGGGTGTGAGTTCTCATACCGTATTGGCCTGAATATAAGCCGCACCCACAAATAAGCCGCACCTTTAAAATTCATGGGGAGGCGGGGACAGAAAGACAATACCTGCAAATAAGCTGCTCCCTTAAAATTCCACAGAATTCCATTTTACCGTATTTCTTTTTCAGCAGCAATATCGTAGAAGCCAATTTTTGTAAGGTCACAAATTTAACTTTCCACTTTCGGAATTTGGAGTGGGGGGGGGGAGCGCGGCTTATATTCAGGCCAATGCAGTAATTTAACAATGCAATTTGTGAAGAAATACTGTCCTGCACCTATCCTGAATTTTCCAGCATTCAGCTTCCTTAGATGCCCACGAATTCTAGTGTTACAACTGGGGGAGAGAGAGAATGATCTAGCCACTTTTTCCATGCCTTGCGTAATTTTATAAACTCCTATCAAATCAGCTCCTACTCGCCTTCTCGCTAAGCTAAAAAGCCCCCAAATACTGCAGCCTTTCGTTACAGTGCGGTTGACCCACCCCCTTGATGATTTCAGTTGCCAGTTTCTGAACCTTCTTGGATACGGCCCAGTAAAATGAATGACCAACTTAACTGAGTCTACTCTGAGCAGGATTTGGTTGGATGCAATCCATTGCTCTCTCTGCACAGCCTTCCTCCTGGGATCTGTTTGTGTTAAGATGCTGGTTATATGTAGAGAGAGAGACTCGTGTGAATCCTTTTGCAATTGTTCCGTTGTGGGAGAGGGAAAGCTCTGTGCTTTTCTGAGGGCCAGGGGAGCATTTTGTTTCCACAAGGCAAATACTAGTGTGAAGTGTGCCCATTTTCATCCTGCTAAATGCATTCCGGTGGACGAGGGAAAGAAAAAGGACAGAGAGGCGAAGCTTTCCTCATTCCCACCCCTTTGAATTCCTCAGAGGCATCCAGCAATACAGTTTTAATGGAGAAGATTGCAGTGTTCTGGGAACTTGATGGCGCACTCAGTTAGTGGCTAAACCTTTCACCCTTAAGAGGACCTGCTCATATATTTCTCGCTCTGCCCGACAACCCAGTTTCTTTTCACATCATTTTATACAGCAGTGTCACTGGTTAAGAAAAGATGAAGAGCCTTTCCTGGACCAGATCGAAAGGTCTAACTAGTCACATTTCTAGTGACCAATTTAGGTGCATTGGGGAAGTCCTGAAGCAGGATGTGAATAGCCCAGCCGGGTTTCTGATAGCCCTTGTGGCTAACACTGTTTGGGGGAAGGGAGAAAACATCCTCTGTGAATTTATCTAATCTCCTCTTAAGCGAAGCCAGCGGTCATCAGTACATCTGGTGGCAGCAAATTCTATCAACTAATTACGCGTGGTGCAAAGAAGCACATTATTTTTCCTGTCCTAAATCTACTGCTAATTGATTTCATTCAATGGCCATGAGTTCTGTTATCACGAAGGGAGAGAAAACATCCCACAGCCACTTTTTCCACACCTGTGTGCTACGTATTTATTCCAAAGCGACAATTCCTTTTGTTTGCTTTAAATATATATATATTAATATACAGGGGTACCTAGGGTTACACTCTCTTCAGGTTACAGATGCTTCAGGTTACAGACTCCGCTAACCCAGAAATAGTACCTCGGGTTAAGAACTTTGCTTCAGGATGAGAACAGAAATCGTGCACCGGCTGCAGCAGGAGGCCCCATTAGCTAAAGTGGTGCTTCAGGTTAAGAACAGTTTCAGGTTAAGAATGGACCTCCAGAATGAATTAAGTTCTTAACCCGAGTACCACTGTATTTTTGCAAGTTCTGTATTGGTAACACGGCTGGAGTTATTGCTCCTGAAATTCCTTGCTCTAATTTTTAATTCTGCACAGAGTGTATTCAAGATTGTGCTGCTGAAACTTGCCAAATCCTTTCCCCACCCACACCCCAACTGAAATCTGAAATGCGTAGGGCCGTCTTTAGTATATGAGCAGCCGGGGTGCAAAGATCCGCCCAGGGTCATCATCCCCCATCTCCCCCCCCCCGATTGCCGGTGGCCAGGAGGTTGCTGTTCTCCACCACTGGGCCTGAGGGAAGCACCTTTCCTGCTCCAGCCCTGCCAGCGAAAGGCAGAGACCTCCCAAGTTTCCCCTTCAAGGGGGAGACCAAACTTCTAAGGGTGTCGGGAACTCGGCGGGGTTTGTCTTGTCGAGACCCCGCGGCAGCAACATTGCATTCCCTTGCCTTGCCACCCAAGGGTTGCCTTTTCAGTTTTCGCATTTGCTACCCCCGGCGGCAAGCGCATGGCACACACCCACACCCCAGAATTCGGCGCCCGGGTGCCCCGCACCCCTTGCAACCCTGGGTAAAGATGGCTCCGGAAGCCTACTGCACAGGAATGTTTTTTTATTTTATTTTTTGCACCTGGTCCTTTGCCAACCTTCATACATCACCCCCCCTGTGTTACTCCCTTTTTGCAGCCAAACCTTTTCCAAAGGCCTCTTCCCCTGGCCACAGTCCCTCCAGCAGTTACGTGAAGAGCACTTCGTCTTCATCCACAGGCTTCGACTATTCCCACGATGCGGAAGCTGCGCATATGGCTGCCACTGCCATTTTGAATCTCTCCACTCGCTGCTGGGAAATGCCTGAGAACCTCAGCACCAAGCAGCAAGATCTCCCCAGCAAGGTGAGTGTGAAATGGGCTTCTAAACCAGGTAAAAAGGTAAAGGTAAAGGACCCCTGACAGTTAAGTCCAGTCGCAAACGACTCTGGGGTTGTGGCGCTCATCTCGCTTTGCTGGCCGAGGGAGCTGACGTTTGTCCACACACAGTTTTTCTGGGTCATGTGGCCAGCATGACTAAGCCACTTCTGGAGAACCAGAGCAGCGCACGGAAACGCCGTTTACCTTCCCGCCGGAGCGGTACCTATTTATCTACTTGCACTTTAACGTGCTTTCGAACTGCTAGGTTGGCAGGAGCAGGGACCGAGCAACGGGAGCTCACCCTGTCACGGGGATTCGAACCACCAACCTTCCGATCGACAAGCCCTAGGCTCAGTGGTTTAGACCACAGCGCCACCCGCGTCCAAACCAGAGATATGAGTAATTGAAGGGAGGGGTGTTAAAGCAGAGATTTCCAGGTGAAGAATGATTTTGGATTGTTTCCAATAGCTGGGTAGCCATGACCAGCTATGGCCCTGTCTCATATAACCACCTAACTAACTTCCAGGGGATGAGGGGCACTTGAACTTTAGTCTCAAGTGGTAATTTTGGTACATGTGAGGTTTGTACAGAATAAGACCTTTATGGATCGAAATCAGCATTTTGAAATACAGTCGTACCTTGTATCCCAAACGCCTTGGCTCCCGAACAAATTGGCTCCTGAACAATCAAAACCTGGAAGTGAGTGTTCTGGTTTTCAAATGTTGGAAGCCGAACGTCTGATGGGTGTTCTGCAGCTTCCGATTGGCTGCAGGAGCTTCCTGCAGCCAATCAGAAGCCATGCTTTGGGTTCCGAATGTTTTGGAAGTTGAATAGACTTCTGGAATGGATTCCATTCGACTTAAGAGCGGTAGACTCGTAATCTGGTGAACTGGGTTCGCGTCTCCACTCCTCCACATGCAGCTGCTGGGTGACCTTGGGCTAGTCGCACTTCTTTGAAGTCTCTCAGTGGTGTAGTGGTGTAGAAGTGTGGTGTAGTGGTTAAGAGCGGTAGTCTCGTAATCTGGGGAACCGGGTTCGCGTCTCCGCTCCTCCACATGCAGCTGCTGGGTGACCTTGGGCCAGTCACACTTCTCTGAAGTCTCTCAGCCCCACTCACCTCACAGAGTGTTTGTTGTGGGGGAGGAAGGGAAAGGAGAATGTTAGCCGGTTTGAGACTCCTGAAGGGGAGTGAAAGGCGGGATATCAAATCCAAACTCTTCTTCTTCTTGGTCTTTAGCAAGACCCGAGTAACTGCTGGACTGGGTGAGGCCCAGGCAACCCTTCATATGTCAGAAGTTGTGCCAATTGCACATCCCATTTAAGTTTCAGCTTGCAGGTGCTTCCAGATCCATATGGCTCAAAAGCTTTCAGTCAACTTTCATTTGTATGCTGCTGTGACCTTTATAAAGGACCTTGAAGTGAGGCAGCAGGAAGTTGGAGGGATCAAAATATTTCTATGGCTTGCTCAACTTTAAATGCCAAAATCAGTTATGCCCTCTGGACCAAGAAATTATAGGTAGATAAGACTTGCTTTGTCAGCATCATGCCAATACAAAATAAAACGTATGCTTGTAGAAAACTAATTCAGGAGTCAACCTGTTCAAATTTCCACTAGAAAAATATTTCCTGGACTAACACACCCCTTGTGCTAAATTCACATGGAAGCATCCTTTGAACTGGCATCGCCATGATGGGCTTATGCATTTATCTTTTGTGATTTGCATTTACAAAGGAAGTATTGTGATTGTGCAAATCATGGCTGTCTCAGGTATATACCCCACCAGGAGGAACCTATCCATACAAGTGGTTCTTCCACTCAGCCCCTGTTGAGTTATGAGGTCGCTTCCAGCCATGAACTCTCCTGCAGGCAATTGTTTGTGTTTCACTGAAGTAGCCATAGCAGTCAAAAGGGACCAAATCTGTATCTAATGCAGTCACCATCCACAAATTGGAACCCAAGCAGTCCACTGTGGCATAGCCAGACAGATGAGGCACACCGCATTATGGCGTCAGGACAACAGGGTCAGGGCCATCTTAAGCATATCCGGCACTGCGGTGCAAAGCTCCATCCTGCGCCACACCCCACACCCTGTTTCCCAGAGTTTTTTAGGGAGGACAGAACTGCCGGTGGGGCTGGAGGAAGCGGGCAGCAGCTGGAGGGCGGCTCCTCTGGTGGGGAAGAGGCGGAGGCTGGATGCAGCGCCTCCTGGCTCAGCTGGCCATTTCGTGCCACGGTGGCCACGGCAGACGGAGGCTCCAGGCATGGTGATGCTTCGGTGCGGCATGGTGGAGGCGGGCGAGGGCGGCAAGCTGATGCCAAGAGGCACCGTGTCCAGCCTCCACCTCTTCCCTGGCACCCTTCAGAATTTGGCACCCTGGCACCCCACACCACTAGCCTCTATGGGTAAGACGGCCCTGAACAGGGTACTGAAGGTGATTGCGAAAGCCAAGTCAAGGCTGTTGTTTCCTTCATTTCAGTCAATGGACATTGAAGTGGATGAAAACGGGACTCTGGATTTAAGCATGAACAAGCACCGGAAACGGGACAGCGCCTTCCCCAGCAGCAGCAGCTGCAGCAGTAGCCCCAGCATCAAATCCCCAGATATATCCCAACGCCAAAACAGCACCAGTGCCACAAGCAGCACCATGACCTCACCCCAGTCCAGCCACACGTCCCGCCAAGATGAATGGGATGGCCCCATCGACTACACCAAGCCAAATCGACAGCGGGAAGAGGAGCCAGAAGAGGTAAGTAATCGCAGGGGCAAGGGCACGGCCAGCACCATCTTAAGTCCCTCCAGTGCCCCCCATTTCCCAGAGTGGTCGAGCTTTTTTAAGGGGGGGCCCCCAAAATTGTTGACCTTTTTTTTAGAGAGCTGACACCACGCTTACACATTTTCTCTAAACAAGCCCTTAGAACAAAATAAAATGAAATGGCTGAAGAAAATCTAATGAAGTCCTCAATTCCAAAGCAAGACTCAGCAGTTCTTCTAATTCATCCTCATGATTCAAATCACCACATATCAAATAAATTGATAAAGACACAGAGGATGAAGTTCCCGGCCAATCTGTGTTTAAGTACAAAGCGGACGTTTTCAAATATTGTGGGGGGTGGGGTGGATGTGGGTGTAAAGCAGTGACACCCTGAACCTAAAAAGGACCCAAAACTTAGGTCACAAAGGCTGCAGCCCTAACCACTTACCTGAGAGTAAGCCCTGCTGAATCTAATGGGACCTTAAAACCCGCCCCCGTCTTTAAAGGACTTTTTGTTGGTGTTTGCTTGTTTTTAACCACTAAATGCATAGAGAGCATGCTCTCAAGTCCATCCTTACCTCCGAACTGAGTCCTAATGGTAGTGCGCCCCCTCTCAGCTTTCCCCTCGCACCTCCCCAAATCTGAATGAATCCCTCCTCCACCTTTTTCCTTGACGGAAGGGGCGGGGGGCAACGTTATTGGCGCCCCTTCCCCGCCCTGTCCTCCCCACCCCCTGCGCTGGGCAGCTCGATGCTCGCTTGCTGCACGGGCCTCCTCAGCAGTCCTACTACTGCCACGGGGCGGGCAGGAGGGAGAAGGGCGCCACATAGCTTTGCGCACCACCACCACCTCCTCTCCCAGGCAGGAAGCGAGAGAACGCGGCTGGCCATAGGAAGAGCTGCTGCCGCCCAATATGCCCTCGCACCTGTTCCCATTCAGTCCAGGACTCCCGCTGCTGGGCGCCCCTAACCCTAATGGGTAAGACGGCCCTGGGCACAGCTTCACCACGTGGGAGTTAGCACACCCTGGAAAGGAGAGGACCAGCATTCCTCCAGCCTCTCGGAGGGATAAATCTGGCACGCTGGCCAACGGTAGACAACGTTGCACCTACCAGATTCTGTTGGGTTGCAACTCCCATCATCCTTGACCATTGGCTTGTTGGAGGTTCCGTTCGACCGAGCTGAAATAGCTCTCCCTCTCAGATGTTCTTCAGAATCCATCAGGCTCTCCTCCTGCGATGGTGATTAACGACCTAAGCCTTTGATGAAGACACCCACTTTTTCAGCACTTTGGAAGAAAATGTTATCTCTTCAGCATCTTACTCTATTATTTTAATTTTGTTTGACAAGCACTTGGGCCAGAAGAAAGGATTGCTATAGAACAGGCATCCCCAAACTCTGCCCTCCGGATGTTTTTGGGACTACAATTCCCATCATCTGCTATAGGACAACAAGGTGGAGACTGAGTGGTTGGCTGCAGACCAATGGTCTAGTGTAAAGAATGACTCGGTCTTTTCCCATGCGCCAAGTTGCCCAGACTGATGAAGTCTTCTTCTTGGGCTTAATGACACAGCAAGGCCAAAAAAAGCCCCTGTTTGCTGCCACCTACTGGCAAAAGTAGTTTCACATCTCAAGCACAGGCTTTCATAAAGTGCCGTAAGCTCTCCACTGAGGAAGTCAGCAAGGACACAGACTTTACAATGGGAGGGTGGGAGCAGGAAAGAAATTTGATCCAGTTCACATTCAGAGGCGAAACAGTACGTCAGCTGAAACACAGCTACCCTTCAGAATTTGCACTTTGCCACATTTTGTGAGACAATCAATGTTTCAAAAAAATAATAATAAATGCTTATATTATTGCTAAAGTGTTGAGCGCAGAAATGAATCTATTGGTGAAAACGGCATGCAAAAATGTGTTTCTCAAAAGAAATTCTCGTTAACATGCTGCTGAATTTTCGCGAGGGTTTTAAACAAAAAAAAAATCTGCGCACTGCTGACGAAATGGGCAGAACTGGATTTAAGAATGGGAATACAAAAAACTGAGAGAAGTCCGCTCCCCTTCCGGGGGGGCAGTGTTGCGGAACGGCATCTGGGACCTCCCAGTAACCGGGCTGTGGGTGGAGGAATGCCGCCCACGTCATAGGGACTCCTGGCTGCATTACGCCCCCTGGCCGGCCAACCCGGCTGGCTGGGGGGGGGCATGGCCCAGGAGGCCTTGTTTCGCAATGATGGCGTTCACTTTTCCGATATGAGAAATGGTATTTCGCTGGTCGATATTGTTAAGGGCATTAGAGATTGGGTGCAGGTGTGAGGGTGTTGGCGGCAAACCTTTTGGGGCTTGAGTGGCGGTTCTTCTTCTTTGGCCATCACTCGTAGCCGAGTAAGATTGTCTTCCATAAACACAGTTTTAACAATATGTTCGTAAGTGACTGTGGAGGCCACTTCTGGATTCACACGTCTAAGGGTATCTCGTTAAAGGGATCTGGGGGTGTGGATCCTGTCCGAAGCCTGGGTGTGGGCCAGGGCCATGCCACTAGCCCAGGGGTCTGCAACCTTTAAGACAAAAAGAGCCACTTGGACCCGTTTCCGAAGGAAAAAAAACCTGGGAGCCGCAAAACCATTGTGACATAGAAAATTAATCAGGGCCCCAGTGTACCATAAATCATAATCAGTGCCTGATGTAAATAATAATTAATAATGAGGGCCCAATGTCATCCTCGTCATTATAAAAATAACTTTTTTGTCACTTTTTATTATTTCTTTGTTTGACCCCTCAGAATTACTCCTCCTCATAGAAATAAACGTTAAATTAACAAGTTGCCTTTTTGTGTGTGTGTTCTTCACTCCCCTTCAAAACAGTGACCAGCGTACATGCCCCCTTTCAATGCAGTGACCTGCGTACATGCCCCTTACAATGTAGTGACCAGCATACATGCCCCTTACAATGTAGTAGTGACCACCATACATGCCCCTTACAATGTAGCGGGTGGGCGGGAAGGTGACGTCGGGACGGTGCGTGACTAACGCATGCACCGCCCCCATGCGACGTCACAGCCAGTACAGCGCCCGCCACAGTGGGGAGTGTCGGGGCGCACAATGCGCCTCCTCCCCTCGCTAGTATCCGCCCCAGAGCCACGGCAAAGGTGTAAAAGAGCCACATGTGGCTCCGGAGCCACGGGTTGCAGACCCCTGCCCTAGCCCATCAGGGCCCCTGGGGCTGCTCTTAATTGATGTATATCACAGTGCTACCCCTACTGGTGGTTTACCCTTATGAGACTCCCTGCAGACGGGCAGGTCAGGATATAGTCCAGTTTCACCCAATGCCTAAGCCAAACCGCTCAAATCTGTAACCAATAAAGTTGTGGCCTATTTTATCCCATTAACCTAAACCAGGCATAGGCAAACTCCAGCCCTCCAGATGTTTTGAGACTACAATTCCCATAATCCCTAGAAAAACAGGACGAGTGGTCAGGGATGATGGGAATTGTAGTCTGAAAACATCTGGAGGGCTGGAGTTTGCCTATGCCTGACCTAAACATTCATGTCTGTGTGTTTATTATCTAAGGAAACTGCGAGACCCGGGGCCTCGCCACACAAGTGAAATTAACCGATCTGTCCATCCCTTGTCTTTCTACTTAAAAGTGGCACTGGATTGGAAGTTGTAAAACCCCTGGCTGGAAGCTCTTGTCCAGCTTTCATTGTGAATGTAGAAGAGAACCACTCTTTGCTCTGAAGGGATTCTGACTGGAAAGCTGTCGCCTTTAGCCCTGGTCTCAGAGACCACCTAGGAATTTGATGATGGGCACCTATTAGAGCAGGGGTCCCCAAACTAAGGCCTGCGGATCAGATAAGGCCCAAGGGACTTGTTTATCCGGCCCGCGGCAACCCCCGCTGCCCGCTACTGCCTCCCACTCTTACCGGCTTGTGCGCATGCATTATTTGCACAAGTGTTATTTGCGCATGCGCAAGCATTATTTGTGCATGCACAAGCGTTATTTCCGGTGCACATATGGGTCGGAGGAGGCCCATGCACATGGGCACAAGCTATTTCCGGTGCTCCTCCGACCCGGAAGTGTGCCGGAAATAGTGTGTGTGCACGCGTATGGGCACGCGCTCCCCCGCCCTCCGGCCTGCTGCGCGATCAGTGCTGGAGACACCAACCCGAGGCGCAGTAAGTTTGCTGACCCCTGTATTAGAGAATCCTCTGCACTTTTTACAGACTGGTAGCAAAAGAGTTTTGTGCACAGCTCTGTTGTCCTCCAGTCCCACCAACATTCCTTTGCTGGTTTCTTGCAGTCAGAGGCTGCCGTACGTTCCTTCGCCTCTTCTGAAGTAGATGACCAAGAAGTACCCGAAGAAAACTTTGAAGAGAGGAAGTATCCTGGGGAAATCACCTTAACCAACTTCAAACTCAAATTCCTTTCCAAGGAGATCAAGAAAGAGCTACTTACGTGAGTCTTCCTACTTGGGCAGCGATGCCTCGCAGTAACATGGGGGAGGTGGGGGACGACAAGAAGGAAGGGGTGCTTTTGCAGGATGGGTGGAGAGGGGGAATTCTTCAAGAGAAAAAAAAGTCTGAGTTGATGTTTCATACTGGGAGGGTCTTATTTAATCCAAACACTTCATAGCAAAAGCTTTAAAGAGAAACTTTGTGCTCCAATTATTCCTGATTGTTGAGATGATGAGACCACTCCGTACAGCCTCCTGAAACTGTGCAATTATTGAAGGAAAGGCAGAGACACTCGACTAAAGCACCAGAATCTTACCATTCATTAAACCGGCTATACAAGCATAATTAAAAAGGTAAAGGTACCCCTGCCCGTACGGGCCAGTCTTGACAGACTCTAGGGTTGTGCACCCATCTCACTCAAGATGCCGGGGGCCAGCACTGTCCGGAGACACTTCCGGGTCACGTTGCCAGCGTGTCATTGCTGCTCTGGCAAGCCAGAGCCACACACGGAACGCCGTTTACCTTCCCGCCGGTAAGCGGTTCCTATTTATCTACTTGCACCCGGGGGTGCTTTCGAACTGCTAGGTTGGCAGGCGCTGGGACCGAGCAGCGGGAGCGCACCCCACCGCGGGGATTCGAACCGCCGACCTTTCGATCGGCAAGCCCTAGGCGCTGAGGCTTTAACCCACAGCGCCACCCGCGTCCCTTATACAAGCATAATTACCCCCTACTTATTTCTCTCTGTGCTCAAGCTAGCCTTTCTAATGCAATAGTAGGAGGAGAAATCTTTTGCCAATGCTATCGCTTTGTTTCCTTGCTTGTAAAGTGTGATGTTATACGCTGGGAGCAGCTTTTCTGAAATGCCCCAAATTGTTGGGAACATCCTATGCTGAGCAGCATCACTCAAGTGTTATGGAGCTGAGGGGGTGGATAAACGGGGGGTAGAAAGAGAGTCTGTGTGCCTGTGTGAGTGTGGGGTTCCCTAAGAAGTTCGAAATCTAAAATCCAGATTTCAATGTGTGGGTTTTCCAAATGGAAACTGGAAAACCTGTGTACTTCCCACAACTAATCGTAGCTGTAATTTGAATATTGAGCAAATTGCAGGAGGAAAAAAATACAGTGGTACCTCGCAGGACGAATGCCTCGCAAGACAAAAAACTCGCTAGACGAAAGGGTTTTTTGTTTTTTGAGCTGCTTCGCAAGACGATTTTCCCTATGGGCTTGCTTCGCAAGATGGAAACATCTTGCAAGTTTGTTTCCTTTTCCTTAACACCATTAATACAGTTGCGACTTGACTTCGAGGAGCAACTCATAGAACGCGGTGTGGTAGCCTTTTTTGAGGTTTTTAAAGACTTTGGTGATTTTTGAAGCTTTTCCAAAACTTTCCCGACACCGTGCTTCGCAAGACGAAAAAAATCGCAAGACGACAAAACTCACGGAACGAATTAATTTCGTCTTGTGAGGCACCACTGTACCATATTTTTCCGTCTATAAGACGCCCCAATGTATAAGACAACCCCTATTTTGGGGGACTCCAATTTAGGAAAATGGGGGGAGATGGCCCCCATGTATAAGACACCCCCAAATTTTGGACATTGTTTTTTAGGGGGGGGAACCTAATCTTATACATGGAAAAATACAGTAATTCTCATATCATTACAGTATACTTCTGAGGAAATGGGTGTAGGGTTGAATTGGCTATTTACATTTTGACTTTTTTTATCCTCTTAGTCAAACATTTTGTAAGCAAAATGTTAGATACAAAACGAGAAAATGTAATATCACCGGCACCTGCAGAGAACACCATCTGCAAGCATTGCAAAACTGGCGAGATCCTTAAAACCTAAGACTCAGCTTGAAAATTCAAACTCTGGAGTCTCCTGCTAACTCTGTCTCCATGATCTGTTCCTCAGAATCCCATTCACTCCAGGGCCTATGAGACATCAGCCTCACAGGGAAAATATATATTAATGTCAGTGAGGACAGCAGAGAATGGGGGAAATGTAGAATCTCCAACTGGGTAGTGAAAGAGTTTACAAATTACTGAGATAAATACCAGTGTTTTGAGTACTGATGAGTCACGTAATTTTCTGCAGAAATGGTGTGAGCAGTTATTTATTGCATTGGTAACCAAATTTTCTCCTTAAAGACAGGTGTAATTGATAATCACACATTTAGCATCACATCTAATTTGGTCGCAAGATCTGAGTTTTATGCTGTTCTCCTGGACTGCACCACTTCAGCCCAAAGGTGGGAGATTCACAAGTTTGAATCCTCACTCATATTTTTAGTATTAAAACAAGACAAATATTCCTGCACATAAAATATTGGCACAGCAAGGGAAAAGGATCCAGTGAATTATCTGACAAAACCTAACCCTACAGTATTGGAGATGCTAGGAAAATGTGGACCACATCAGTGCCTAGATGGGAGGGCACGAGGAGCTCCCCAAAAATTTTCAAATGAATAACATATCTAAATGTGTAGCATGACATAAATAATATTAGAACATTCAGAGTCGTGCTAGCAATGGGAGAATAAGACACAGGTTTTTACAAAACATATGTAAATCTTCCCTCATATGGCATTTTTATTCCCCCCAGTATTGTGGATTGTAAATAATATCCTTTTAAACAATTTATCCTTTTAAAAATACTAACAGTAATGTATACAATGAAAACAAGCACGTGTTTTTCAACACTTAGTAACAGAAACGTATCAGTGCTTACGTGTTTATCAATATTAACGTGACCTGGAGGTTTGGAGTGGTGTTTCTTCAAACCTAACCTTAGCGATTATGAGAGAAGAAGAAGACTGCGTTTCAATTTGGGCTATATTAATCTCAAGGTGGATGTTGTGAATTCTCCCTGTCTGAAGCTCTGGAACGGAAACGCATCATTCAGGAACTCCTGAGCCGTAATCTCAAAAGTGGCACCACTTTGCTCACATCTAACCCTTGAGAGAGGGACGCGGGTGGCACTGTGGGTTAAACCACAGAGCCTAGGGCTTGCCGATCAGAAGGTCGGCAGTTTGAATCCCCACGACGGGGTGAGCTCCCATTGCTCAGTCCCTGCTCCTGCCAACCTAGCAGTTCGAAAGCACGTCAAAGAGCAAGTAGATAAATAGGTACCGCTCCAGCAGGAAGGTAAACGGCGTTTCCGTGCGCTGCTCTGGTTTGCTGGCCACATGACTCGGAAGCTGTACGCCGGCTCCTTCGGCCAGTAAAGCGAGATGAGCGCCACAACCCCAGAGATGTCCACAACTGGACCTAATGGTCAGGGGTCCCTTTACCTTTAACCCTTCAGAAAAGAGACTTTATTGAACCTGCTCATTATGCAATAGCATGCAATGGAAATGGAAGTATCCCATTTCTGTGGGGAAACTCATTAAGCTCTTGTAATTGCTAGGTTGGTTTCTTAAAGAGGCCAGTTTGCTTACCACAGTGGCAAACCAGTCGTTCCTGAATGCCAAGGTAGCAAATCAATACGGATGCCCATCTGCCATTACCCTTAAAGGTAAAGGGACCCCTGACCATTAGGTCCAGTTGTGACTAATTCTGGGGTTGCGGCGCTCATCTCACTTTATTGGCCGAGGGAGCTGGCGTACAGCTTCCGGGTCATGTGTCCAGCATGACTAAGCCGCTTCTGGCAAACCAGAGCAGCGCACGGAAATGCCGTTTACCTTCCCGCTGGAGCGGTACCTATTTATCTACTTGCACTTTGAGGTGCTTTTGAACTGCTAGGCTGGCAGGGGCAGGGATCGAGCAACGGGAGCTCACCCCGTCACGGGGATTCAAACCGCTGACCTTCTGATCGGCAAGTCCTAGGCTCTGTGGTTTAACCCACAGCGCTACCCGCGTCCCTCTCCATTACCCTTATGGAGACCTGAAAAATGCACAGAGGAGAGTGTAGTGTCAAGGAGTCCCTGGATCATCCTGTCTTCCCCATACACATTTGTCTCTTCCCGCTGATCTTTTGGTGGTAGGTGGATAATGATTTCATAGCTATTTCTGGCCCAGCAGTGGCATGGGACCCACCCCAGTCTAGCCAGTACAGCCCTCAGCTGTTCAGTTGGGATGGCTTGCTACAGGTTTCAGAAACGGTAGAGCCAGTTCCACATCAGTGTCTCCTCCCTGATACAGGCTTATTGGCAGCAGCTGGATCTGGGTAGCCAATGGGGCATTTGTGGAAGTTCAAAATGGCGGCTGGCTTGTATGGTGCCACCAGATAAGCCCATGGCCAGGAGGACAGGCAGTCAGGAGGCGCCCAACAGGTGTTTGTGCCGGGTGTTCAGGCCCCATGAGATGCCCCAAAGTGACCTTGAGTAAATGGTTTGCTCTGCCACACCTTGTTTTTCCATGCTCTCCTACAGCTCCCCCCATACCCAAATCATGTCCCTCCCTTCATTCCTTGTATTCTTGCATGGCTAAATAACTGACCTGACACTTTATGAGTAAGTGTCCAGTAGAATGTAGAAACAGAATGTCTATACAGTTATAGTCAACTTCTAACTCGGGGCAACGACATCATTATTTATATAAATTATTATTTTTGTATAAATTATTTTTTTTATATAAATGGTAAGACCATTCAGAAAGCTCACCTCTTTGCTGCAGTGCAGTAACTAAGAACTTTAGCTGTGAGCCTTAGTTTCAGATCTCACCACAGCCACGATCTCACCGTGTGAGTAGACTTGGACAAGGTACAGTGGTACCTCGGGTTACATACGCTTCAGGTTACATACTCCGCTAACCCAGAAATATTACCTCAGGTTAAGAACTTTGCTTCAGGATGAGAACAGAAATCGTGCTCTGGCGGCGCGGCGGCAGCAGGAGGCCCCATTAGCTAAAGTGGTGCTTCAGGTTAAGAACAGTTTCAGGTTAAGAATAGACCTCCAGAACGAATTAAGTACTTAACCCGAGGTACCACTGTACACACGTTTTCAGCCCCAGACCCACCCACTCCCCCCCAGAAATATGTGGGTAAAATTGCATACTGGAAG